AAAAGAATAGCCTAATCTCTCTATCTAAATACTTTTGAAAAATAGATTAATAATTCTAATTTTAATCAGTTTCTAGTTTAATAAGATATATTGAAAAGATTAAAAATCCATTAATTAAATAATTATATTTATTAATCAGTATTAATTTTTTATTATGATAATTCTTTTAATTATTTATAATAGTTAATCTCTGTTAAGTATTTAAATTCTGGTTTTATAATCCTATATTAATTTATAAATAAAAATAATATTAAGGATTAGAAAGTAGAAATTTTCTAACCAAGCTATATATCAGATAAGAATAAGACAATCATATAATTACCCTATAAGCTTTTTAGTCTAATTTTTGCCCAACTTCTATCTATATTGCAATTTTAGTATTTTAAATCTAACTTCTACATCAATTTAATATAAAAATAAAAAATAAAAGTATTCATTCACAGCATTACTATCTAAAATAAGCTATGCATTTTCATATATTATCTTCAGTAATTTTTAAAAAAAAGTAACCCAAAGCTTCAATATAATAAAATCTAGGTTTAACTTTTCTAAGATACATCTTTTTTTAAGTTTTATAAGAAAATAAGAATCTATTTCAATCTAATTAGTGATATATAATAATCTTAGCCAGATTATAATATTAACTATTTAGTATTATAATAAATAACGGTTAAACTAAGATTTCATAATATGAAAAGATTTTTTAATAATCATTAATGTTATATATATATTAAGAATAAGACTTTATTATTAAGTTTATAAACTCTTCTATTAAATTAAATATGTATATCTTTTTTTGTATTAAAATTTATTCAAATATATTACTAGTAGATTTAGAGTAAATAATATAATATTAATATATATAATAAATATAATTATATATAATGAATCTATTTTAAAATTTACAAGGCCTTTAGATTCTGACTCAATCCAGAAGATAGATCATCTTAGAAGCTATATATTAGAAATCACTACTATTAAATAAAGGTAAAGATTAATAATCTTAGTTTCTATTATAGATATATAGATTTAAATTAAATGTAATGAGATATTACTTAGAAAATATCTTTTTAAGTATGTTATGAAATCTTTATTTATCATTTTGATTTCTTTAGAACTGTGTGGATTACAGTGGTGATGGTTGTGGTAATATGTCAGAGGGCATGTCAAACCCAATCTAATTGATAAAACCATCCTCCAACCTCGATCAAGACAAAAGAAACTCATTAATAGAGCCATTGCATCCTCAAACTATAATCCACTCCTTCGCTGATAGCTTCTTCTGGAATCCTTATCGGTTGTATATACCTATTAATACCAATAATGTGTAGCTCTTAGAGACATATAGTGGGTCTGATTAGATAAGATTTATCATGTAGTAATGTCTGGGTGTTAGATGTTCTGATTGTTGAGGGTTTTGGGCATTGTTATAATTTAGAAGCTGATATTAATTGTTTTTACTCTATTAAAAAGCTCTAAGTCAAGATACTTACTTAAGGTGAGAGATTTGAATATATGTACTAGCTTGTATAATCACTAAGGATATGCATAGAAACTCCTATTAATATATATCTATACATCAATAAACAATAAAAATCTTTAAACTAAACTATTATTTAGCTTAGAACTATTATTTATACTTACTACTAGTCTAGGCTGTCATTTGGTTCAGTGCTGGTCCTGAGTTTCTGAACCAAATCCAAAAGTGGATCGGTTCGGTTTGGTCCCTAATATTAGAATTAGAACTAAAAATTAAATAATTCTAGCTCTTTAAATTGAAATTAAATTATACTAAAAAAGAATTACTAATTATAGTTAAATTAATATAAGTTTAATTTGGTTTTTATTTAAATAACTAAACTATATAAAAATCTTTTTAACTATAATTAGATTTTATTCTTAAAAATATATTAAAATCTTTCTAAATTTTAGTAAATTAGATAAATAAATAATATAAAATTATAATTAATTATTTAATTTATAATTTTCTATCTAATTATTAAGATATACTAAAAAATAGATAAATAATAATGAATATTATAGAATAAATATGGAAATATATATGGAAATATATATGGAAATATATATATATATTTTTTAATAAATAAATTAGCTATATAATATAATTTAAAAAATATAAATAAAAATAGAAAAGATATTATTATTATTTAAATAATTCTTAAATTATAATCTAAATATTAAAAATTTATTATAATATTTATAAAAATATCTAAAATAAAGTTTTAATTTAAAAAAATAAGAATTTAATTTATAAAAAGTTATTTTGAAAATAATTATCTAATCAGTAAGAATTATAAAGAATTAAGATTAACTCTAAATTTATTAATATTATTAATAGTAATTCACTAGTATTTAGATATTCAAATAAAACCAAATTAAAAATCTAAATTGAATTAGACTTAAATAGATTCTAAAAAACCATATGGTCCTAGACTTAATAAATTGAACCACATCAGTTCGCTGTATATAGAACCAGAACCGGACCATTCGGGTTTCAGATCGATTTTGGTTCGGTCCGAACCGAACCAAATGACAGCCTATACTAGTCTATTAAAGGTATCTTTATAATTTTTTATAATAGATATTAATTTTTTTAAAGTTTTTTAACTTGTGCTATGGTTGGTTAATTAAAATATTGCTATAAGTATTTTTATAATCCTAATATGTATTTTATATATAAATGGATTCTAGAAATTCAAGCTCTGACCTATAGATTTTTATACCCTTAGGTGGTCTATGTTAAAGTCCATTTCTCAGTCAATTGAGATCATTGAAGTGGTAGAAGTTGGAGCATTAAGGTTAGTTTATGTGCTCTTCTTATTCATGACTGGTGGAAGAAGGATGTGGTTGCTTAGAATTCAAGTATAACATGTTACTAATTCCTATATCAAAATGATAGACCTGTCTTTTGATAGGTCATGAAATAGGGTTGTCTCTCACTTCCGGCCAATATAGAGTATCTGAATGACATTAGCGATACATGTCAGTTGCATATTTTTTAGTTCTCCTAATATGGAAATGTTTACTGCTTATTGGACAAAACCAGATTTGCCAAAAAGTTGCTTAATAGAGATATATGTGAGGCCTGGCAGCAGCGAGAGCACTGCAGGCTCACAGAGGCTTATAAGCGTACCAACCCTGGAATTAGGCAATGGCCCAATTATCTCAGTATTACTTTTTAGCATTTAGAGGTTAGCAGTGCCAAGGAGCTTTATAATATAATTAAGCCATTAGAGACGTTAGAAGCCCCTGATTCAATTTCTACAGATATAGAACTACGCGATAGAATTATCAAAACCTAATCTTACTTAATAAGTCTAGCACTCCTGCCCCTTATAAAAGATAATTCTAAAGAGTCTTTTAAATATAAACTTATAAGGCCTTTAGTTCCCAAAAAGCTTCGAAGCGTAGTTCACTTCATGGAAGCAGTCCCTAGGAAGTGTGTAAAGCAGCGCCCTTAGAGAGAGGCATCCCTCAAAAGAAGGGCCTTTTAGAGAGGGTAGAGTGTGAGGCCTAACAGCAGTAAGAATGCTGCAGGCTCACAGAGGCTTATAAGCGTGCCAATCCTGGAATTAGGCAATGGCCCAATTATCTCAGTATTACTTTTTGGCATTTAGAGGTTGGCAGTGCCAAGGAGCCTTACAATATAATATATTGCTTCTAGAGATTAAAATAAGGTTATAAAGTGAAAGAAAGTATAACGTATATTAAGATTAGAGACTCACTTAAAATACCATTTGAAATTATAATAAATAGATAATCGATATTATTAAGTTCTTTTAACATAGGATACTATCTAGTATTAGGATAATATAAGTGAAGATTATAATATTAAAATCTATTTTGCTTGTAAGTGAGTTTCTAAGTTTAGATTTTCTTCTTTTTCATTCTAGTAAATATTGGGGTTTAGATATACTTCTGTTATCGCCTCATTATGTCTTTATGGGGGGCAATATGTAATAAAGAGAGTGTGTACTGTGGTGGTGAATATCTTTTTATTGATCAATAATCTGAACCTATTCTTTGTTAGAGTATCTAGGTGGTGTAACTATTTTTGAAGGTATAATTGTAATAGTTATGTAGTGGTGTTTATATTGTTGTGGTAAGAATATTTGATGTTCTTTCTTGGAGACACTGAGATTTTGATTGATTTGTGGTGTTTCAGGCAGTTAATGAACTCTGGTGCAGATCAGTTTGGCGTTGGAATAACAATATTATGAGATATTCTGTAGCTGGAGAGTGGTGAAGGTGATGGAAGAATTGTTGACAGCAATGAAAGCTAAACAGTGTCTGTGTGGTGAGTTTGTGTAGTTGATAGTGGGTGTTTGGAGGAGGTATGATGTTTAAGATGTTATGCCAAATTTCTCTCTTCTCTAAGTTAGATGATTGGTGAATATAGTGAGGTACTCTCCAAATATAGATCGAGGCTGAATATCCTATATTATTAAATGGATAATTAAGAGTGAGATTGTTATTGATTTGAAATAAATTTTTGGCTGGAGCTGTTCCTAATATTTTAAGAACAGCTGCTTTGTTTGTGTGTTTTTATATAATATGCTCTAATATATATAATGCTGAATGGTGAACAGAGTATGATATGCTGTCTGAAGTATTTGCAAAATTCTAATCTATGATCACTGTGGTGTATATTACTTCAGGCTAATTATAGGTATAAGAAGCTAATTGTAATGATCATTACTAAAGTGAATATGATTTATGTCTTTCAGCTTTGTCTTTGATTGATCTATGGCTGAGTTATGCTTAAATAGCCCTGTTTTTTGTGTATCATTAGATGACATTTTGAAGATTAGCTTCTCATCTGGAAGTATGATAATATTTGTTGGCCAGATTTCGATATTGACAGAGTAGATTTCTCTTGGGATGATAGGTTTTTGATTGGTAGATTGATATTTATGGTGAGGATGTTAGAAATGGTTCTGTGGGCTTGCTTTATTTATCTTTATAAAGCTAATACGAATCTATTCTTTGATTACTGGCACTGGATTTCCCACTGTGCTGGTGTATAGGATTTCTTTGTCTTGAGAATTTAACTGCCTGATAGTTAAAAATAGATTGATATAACTTGGTTTTGTATCAGATATTGAGTCGATGCTGCTTGTAGATATATTAAGGTGTGCTATAATATGGCCTGTAAACCCAACTTCCTTCTTAAACGCTTCATTAGTGAATTGGATGAGATGTTGATGTTTTAGATCTTCAGGGGCTTGATAAGAGATGTTGGTTATTTCATGATTTGCTGGATGGACCTTGGTCAAGCCTCCAGCTGCCGTTAGATAGAATTTCGTATAGGCTGTGCCTGGCATGGGCCATTCATCCTCAAAGCATGTGAGGTAGGCCTTCTCGTCTTCTGGGTTATTGAAACCCACATCCCCTTTTCGCAACACTATCTCAACTTTAGGTGCTTCGCCTGTAGACCAGACACCAGTATCTTTGTTTTCAAGAAAGCTCTTCTGCATATCCACGCAAGCTTTGGTGTAGAACGGCAGATCATGCCGGCCTGTCACAAATCGAAGATACTTGAGCTTTGAGCCAGCGTTCATGTATCCCTCGACATTCCTCTGAGATGCGAGAGGATCCCACCCCAATTGCCGACAGAGAGGAGGGGAACTTTGATATCTTTCATTTCGTAGTCTTTAGATCTGTAGAATTCGTCATCAAGAAATTGGTTTGTGAAGTTGTCGATTGTTTGGTCTCTACAATTACCCTCAGCCTCTTCTTCGGTTAGGTCGCCCTCGATTGTGTCTGGGCCCCATTTCCTGGCTGCTCTCCCAGGACGGCCATATTGATTTGTAGTGACCTGTGAGAACGTACACGACGAGTTATTGAGTCGCGCAGCGAACAGCCTCGAAAGCTGGCCTGCTTACCTGACGATTCCACCGAAGTGAACGAAAGTGTTTGACAAGATCCCCCCATGTCGGCATCTATCTCGATAGTAGTCGGATATTTCTTCCCATGTATTGATGCATGCCAAACCCTTAGGTTGTCGTGCAGCAACGCGCCAATGACTATCTGCAGAGTAGCTGATGCCTAAGAGTCTAACTCTTCCAGATGATCATGGTTGGCTAGCAGCCCACTCTATAACATTGATAAAAGCTAGGCTGGTATCACGTGATATTGTGTCCAGCTTGCTTGGTGATTGGTTAAGGCCAATCTCATCGCCTTGAACCACCGCGTATCTATGCCGGGTTCAAAATCCGGGATCTGGTGTTTCTCAGGCGGAGTGTGGGGAATGGTGCTTTGCAGGGACTTTACAAACGAGGAGGCTTGAAAACTAGAAATAGTCAGTGCTCTGGCTCAGTTATAATGGCTACGGTTAGGAAACTTATGCAAAGACTTACGCCGAATAATGAATGTCTTTACCATATGCCCCATAGGTTACCAGAACAGGGAATTTCTCGCCATTGGCAGCTTTGGGGCGGTAGACATTGCACCTAACCAGACCTCTGTCGTCTTTCAGATGTATTGTTACATTTTCTTCGTAGACATAGTCAAAAGAAGACTCGTCAATTTGATGAAGGTAATTGTGTATCTCGTTAGGCATATTGGGTTGGAAATTTTTGGGTTGGAAAAATTGTCTAACGTTTATCCTTTTGTCTCTGGTGCTAAGAAGTGATGCGAAAAACGACGTGACAACTATCACTTAATCAGAGATTAATCCCTCGTAGGTATGTACTGTACTACGTATGCGCATTTTCTAAGAAAGATTATGTCCTTGTGGGGTTGTGGTCGGCAGCCCCAGCCGGCCCCCCCAGCTTTCCCTCGGCTCCATAACTCTCCAGCTCCCCGAGCTTTTTAGACCCGACATTGGGGACAAGCAAGTGACCATCTAGCATGAAGCTAACTTGGACGTGTATAGACATATACAAAGCACAAGACGATAAAGCAATCTCATATCTTCAATCCTACTGCCACTCCACGCCAGTAAAGGACAACTTCGTTTCCGTCATCACACCTGCTCAGCATCATCGCAAAATCTGACGTAAGCAAAATCTAACGTAACAGTGCTCATGATGCATGATGCTTCGCCATCACTTGATGGGCCCTCCAACCTCGTAAATGGAGAGGGTCTACCAAATAACGAGAGCTTGAAAATCCTTATCGTGGGAGGAGGAATTGGCGGCTTGACGGCAGCAATAGCTCTGCGAGAACAAGGGCACGAAGTCGATGTTGGTTTCGCCACCACCCCGTAGACGGGAAACTCATTAACATGTGACCCTAGATTTATGAGCAGTCGCAGTTTGCAAATGAGGTCGGAGCTGCCATCCATATCGTACCGAATGCAAACAGTGTTTTACAGCGTCTCGGGATTATGCACGAGGAAGAGGGGGCTATCCGATTGCGGCAGGTACAGGCCAATAAAGCACAAATTTTCTATGAATTAGGAGATACTTCGATTAGTTATCTCGTGCAAAGAGCTGAGAGCTGACATCCTGTTTAGACCAGGTTCTTCAAATCCACCGGGGAACTACTCTCCACAACAAATAATGAAGCCGATAGTTATCATTGGCAAAAGGTGTGTGTCAGTGCCCTGAAAAGAGGGGAATTCTCTGACTATTTTATACAGCCATGGCTGCTAGCTCACCGAGCCCATCTTCATTCTCACCTAAAGAGGGTGGCAACCTCTACCAAGGGAAGGGGGCCACCAGCGCGGCTACATACTTCTTCCAGGATCATCACTGTCGACCCATTGACAGCAACGATCAAGTTTACGAATGGAGATCAAGCTCAGGGTGACCTAATTGTTGGTGCTGACGGTGTTCATTCAAGATGCAGACTTGCGATAGCTGGACCGGAATACCGCCCCCAGAAGTCCGATCGGAGCGCTTTCCGTTTTATGGTACCCACAGAGGCTGTTCTAGCTGATCCGGAGACTCGATCACTGGCTGAGGTACGGGGCTCAATGGATATGTACTATGCCGTTGATCGAAAGGCGGTAATTTATCCTTGCGCCCATAACACATTGCTCAACTTCGTCTGCCTCCATCCGGCTGCATTGTCAGATGCTTCGGCTGAAACCTACGACAAAACGGTCCGAATAGAAGCCCTTCTGCACGTCTACAAGGAGTTCAGCCCCCAATTGCTGAAAGTTTTCCAGAAATGTGATCCAGAATCCCTCAAAGTATACCCTCTTTTCGACGTGGAGACCCTTCCAACTTTTATCAATGACCGATTGGTTCTGATTGGTGACGCTGCACATCCTTTTACACCGCACTTGGCGCAAGGAGGAGCCATGGCCATTGAGGATGCTGTATCTTTGGGAGTGATGCTATCTAAAGGTGTCACTTCTGTTGAAGTGCCCGAGCGTTTGAGGCTTTATAATAAAGCACGCTATGGTAGAGCCACAGCCATTCAAAATTTTAGTCGCATTGTTGGTAACGATGGTGTGAGCTCCGGGGGGGAGGAGGCAGACAAATTGAAAAGTACCCCAAAGTCCAAGAATCTGGAGAGAAAAACACATTTGCTGACCATGCTCAAGTATTCGAATACATCAATTACGGCCTTAGCCACGATGAACACGACGCCTCCACTCAGGTGCTCAGGGAGCATCAATGGTCGCAGTGCCCGAAGCTTTACTGGCGCCAGCCAACGGTCTTCGGACCAATGCCTGGACCACGACAGGACTTTAGGGGCAACCCGGAGATAAGAGACCTATCGACTACTCGAACGGCCAGAATAACTTTCAAAACGAGCGCTACCCTGCTTCGAAATATGCTGCCTAGCAAAGCTTATAGTTTTGCTGTAGGTGACACCGTCGCGACAGCTAGCCTGTCCGTTCAATCACTTAACAAGCTCGACTGGCTTGGCGGTGGCAGCTATGACTTGATCATGTTCCAAATACACGGTGTAAAGCATACAGCACCAGACGGCTCGGTCATCCACGGCAGGTTTTGTCCTGTGTTATTTGAAAACCTGGCAGATCCCATCTTGTCTGGTCGCGAGGAGCTGGGATGGCCGAAGCTGTTTTCTGAAATCGACATCCAAACGCCTTCCGAAAATTCGTACGAGGTGACCGTAGCATGGAGGGGTGCAAAATGGGCGTCATTCTGGTTACATGGACTCCGCGACGAACTCGAGAGCAACAAAGATGGCAAGTCACAGTTGACCATAGGCAACAGGACACCTACAGTCCCAGACGATGGCCTGCTAGTCCACAAGTTCCTACCCACAACAACTGACCAGCCGCACCAAAGCAAAGCGGATTCCAACTACGACGTCTTCATTCCTGATCTTCCCGCAAAGACAACAACAGCAGACACAAATAATGACAACAGCAACCAGAGCTCGTTTGTTCCAACTCAAACATCATGTCAAGTTTCGTCACAGGCAGGATTCAGAATATTTCCCCTTGGCCAGAGGGAGCTGCCTACGCTATATCACATTGTCGATCGTCTGGCAGAAGTTCCCATTTTTGAGGTCACGGACGCACGGCTGTGGACGGAACAAGGTGTGAGAAATCTCTCGGACGCACGGAGGATTGGTTGACTAAAGGAGCCAGTCTGAGTTAAATGCTGGAGACAAGCACACACGGCCTAGATCTATAATATATAAAAAAAATATAAAAAAATCTTAATATATAGAAATATTATATTAAAAAAATAAGTTGATAAATCTATATATTAATCTACATATATTACTAATATTATATATACATAATAAAATAATAATATATATCTTTAAATATTAATATATTATCTTTAAATATTAATATGAAAATAAATTTAATATTAAATAAAAGTATATAAAATTAAAAAAAATAATAATGAATTTAAATTAATAAGATTTTTTACCTGTAACAGGGATAGACCCAGGGAGCATGTTCAAGCCTAATCCGGCAGGACTGGGGGGCTCAGGGATACCCTGGGGTCAATTGTGATATATCACAATTGATACCATAAGACCCCAGACATGATGCCAGTACCTCTCACCTCGCTATATATATCTTTATCTAGTTAGATTAAATACCAATGACCTGAGATAAGGACTCAGATATATAGACTTGATTTCTCATCCAAAAGAAGAAAACTAAGCAATATCTTTTATATAATTTTTAATATAACTTTTAATATAAATCTACTCAGCTTTAAATAGTCTTCAGCTCGAAGCCTTTTCTAACTATATAATCTAAATTGATTATATATAATATTCTATTATTTATTATTTCTAAAAGTTATAAGAACTAAAGATAAATATAAAACTTATAATATTGAATTAATAATTATAATTAATGCTTTTAAGTATTAATAATAATATTTAAAAAATAACTAATATATAATAAAGATGTTAATAGATTGTAATAATTTATAATACTTTGTTATTAGGCTGTCATTTGGTTCGGTTCGGACCGAACCAAAACTGATCTGAAACCTGAATGGTCCAGTTCTAGTCCTATATACAGCGAACCGAAGTGATTCAATTCACCAAGTCCAGGACCATATGGTTTTTTAAGACCCATTTAGGTCTAATTCAATTTGGATTTTCAATTCAGTTTTATCTAAATATCTAAATATCTAAATATTAATAGATTTCTATTAATAATATTAATATATTTAAGATTAATTCTAATCCTTTATAATTATTATTAATTATATAATTATTTCTAAAGTAGCTTTTTATAAGGCTCCTTGGCACTGCCAACCTCTAAATGCTAAAAAGTAATACTGAGATAATTGGGCCATTGCCTAATTCCAGGGTTGGTACGCTTATAAGCCTCTGTGAGCCTGCAACGCTCTCGCTGCTGCCAGGCCTCACATATAAAGATATAATCTATATATTATTAAAATATATAATATTAATCTATAATAGGCTTTTTATTAATAGATTCTAATAAAATATATATTTCTATCTTAGAATTATTTATTAATTATCTATCATAGTTTATTCTTAATTAAATAGTTAAATTAAATAATAAAATTAGTTTATATAATATTATTTATATTATTATATTAATTATAAATAAATAGATTAATTCTAATAGATTTCTATAATATAATATATATATAATAATAGCTATTATAATATTATAGAGAAAATTTTGATAGAGATATTGATAAAATTCTAAAAGAATCTTTATATAGATATAATAAAAGAGTCTTTAAATTAGAGTTTTAATATAAAATAGAAAATAAAAAAGTTTTAAATAATATAAATATAATTTTAAATAAGATTAAAAGCTATAAAAGAGTTTTAAATAAAAATTTATAATTATTAAAAAATAAAAAAAATTTATAAAATAGAAAATTAGATTATATTTTAGATAAAGAATATAATTTTATTTTAATATTTAAAGAAACTAAATAATTATTAAATAGATCTTTTTAAATACTAAAAATATAAAGAATAAATATCTATTATTTAGACTTAATTTTAAAATATAAAAATTTATATTTAGTATTCTTAGGCTGTCATTTGGTTCGGTTCGGACTGAACCAAAACCGATCTGAAATCTGAATGGTCCGGTTCTGGTCCTATATACAGTGAACTGATATGGTTCAGTTCACCAAGTCTAGAATCATATGGTTTTTTGAGGCCTATTTGGGTCTGATTCGATTTGGATTTTTAGTTCAGTTTTATCTGAATATTTAAATACTAGTGGATTACTATTAATAATATTAATAATTTAGGGTTAATCTTAATTCTTTATAATTATTATTGATTATATAATTATTTCTGAATCAGCTTTTCATGAATTGAATTTTTATTTTTTGAATTAGGACTTTATTTTGGATATTTTTATAAATATTATAATAAATTCTTAATATTTAAGTTATAATCTAAAAATTATCTAGATAATAATAATATTTTTTCTATTTTTTATATATATTTTTTTGAATTATATTATATAATGTATTTAGTAAAGAAAATATATATATATTTCTATATCTATTTTATAATATTTATTATTATCTATTTATTTTTTAGTATATCTTAATAATTAGATAGAAAATTATAATTTAAATAATTAATTATAATTTTTATATTATTTATCTATCTAATTTACTAAAATTTAGAGAGATTTTAATATATTTTTAAGGATAAAATCTAATTATAGTTAAAAATTCTTTGATATAATTTAATTATCTAAATGAAAATTAGATTAGACTTAGACTAATCTAATTATAATTAGTAATTCTTCTTTAGCGTGATTTAGTTTCAGTTTGAAGAGCTAGAATTATTCAATTTTTAGTTCTGGTTCTAATATTAGGGACTAAACTGAACTGATCCACTTTTGGGTTTGGTTCAGAAACTCAGGACCAGAACCGAACCAAATGACAGCCTAAGTATTCTACATATTTTTATTAAAATTATATTATATTATGATGAGAAGCTTTATATTAATAGAACTGATTTTAATTAATAATATATTTAAATATATAATATAGAATATTATATAAGAATAAATTTTTAAAATTAAGTTTATAGGCTATATTAGTAATATAAAAAATTGAATTAAAAATCTAAATATCTAAAGAAAAATCTAAATATATTTATAAAAGAAATCTTAAAGAATATATATATAATATATAGTAATAGATTTATTTATCTGTCTATTAAATAATATATAATATAACTATATTACTATCAAACTATTATTTATTAAATTATTTTTAATCTATTATATTTTATAAAATTAATTTGAAAATATTAATTTTTTTAAAAAAAAGAATAATATAAGGCTTTATATATTATAAAAGATTTATAATCTCTTAATATCTATAAGACATCTTTACAAAATCTTATAATACTATTATTAAGATATTAGTTAGTTAAGATACTATATAATCTATATCTATGGTTATATATACTACAGGTTAGCAATCAGTCTATATTAAACCGAACCCTACATTCGACCAGTGAATCCTAACGTTTTGCCTGCTTTCCAATAACCGTCTCACAAAATAATTATATATAACTATTTTATATCTAAAAATAATCATATATAATTTAAAACTATTTTATACTTTAAAAACTAAAAATAACTTTCTACAACTGTTGCACAGCCGGTATTCGCCAACCTAGTCGGGCCGCTACGTAGACACATCGATGAGCCGGTAGGTGATTCAGCGCCTAAGGTCTGAGTGAAATAGACCATAAAATAAATAAAATAAACCCTAGTTGTAGTTCCAGGTCGTATCATATTGCATTAGCATTTATAATGAGGTCTCATTCTTACTTGGGAGTTCGACACTGGCAAGGTGAAAGGAGGGGGTTTTCTTTACTGTATTGAAGTAATACCATGGCTTGGCACTTGGCAATCGCTATATCGATTCATCAATTTCTGCCGATTGAACCGTAGAATCTGCTGGTGGTTTGTACCGTTGAATTCAGGTTTGAGTCTACTCAATATAGAGTGGAAATCGACCAATGCTTTCTGCAGGACCAGAACGCATACCTTTTTACCCCAGAACGCCGGAAAAAGAAAATTGACACCACCACATATCTACAATGTCGCTAGAATAGCACGTGCGTTTTACCTGCAGAACTCCGAGAGGAAACCAGAAAACCTTAGTTGCAATTCGGTGCCCGCTTACTCCCGTCAGGATAAACAATAGGCAGCAATAACCACCTACAACCTCTTAAGGGCATTCTGCAGTAAGTTACCATAATTTAGATCTTACTTCTCCACTATATGCGAGCCCTACAGGGTTATTTTTGCCCGCCGGAGGATCATGAAACTGGAAGGTGCTGGAGATCGAATCCACTGCGCTGCGGCACTGTCGCGTGCTATGCCGGGATCAACAGAGTCTGTAGAGAGTCCTTGTTTGATCTGGGATTCCTTTAACCTCCTCTGCCTCGGGCCACATCGTACGGTAGGTAGCGTGCAGCATCTTTACTACATCAAGACAATTCTCTTTAGTATTGTATAAAAAGATTCTTGGCATTTTTCACCATTGAGCCGTCACATAGCAAATGAAAGTTCACATAACTTGCAAGCCAAGTTGCAGAATCGTTTTAGGATGCTACTTAGAGCCTTGTCATCTTACAGTAACAGAAACCTAGACTACTTTACTGGTGATTAATCCTTCGTGCGTCACATTTTAACCTCTTTGAGAACCCTTTCAAGTAGCTGCGCCTGCACAATGCGCACTCTACAACGAGACAGAACATGACCTCCTCGCGCAAGATGGGAAACGCCTGCCATACGGTTATCATCCAACAAAATATCACCACACCAGAGAATCAGGGTAGCGTAGTAGATGGCGTAGGGAATATGAGGTGCCTCAGTCACGACTAGCGATCGCTCGATATTGGTAGATGGAGGTGCTATCCGGCCATGCTGGTTTCGAGACGCGCCCTCTTTCATAGAAGCTGTAATGGCTTTCTCCGTACAATCGATCAAGCTCTCGGCATGCCAGCGCGCAATGTCATAATGCCTGCTACGTACCCAAGTGTTGATTGTCGATTCAGATGTCTTCTCGCATTTTTCCGATGCTGCAGAGCCCTGCGGAGAATGTGCCAAATTCTGAAGAGGGTCGAAGTTTGCGTGAGAAGCAATATTCATGGTGTGATAAAGCACTAGTGACGATACTTTAATATCCGCTGGCTGTGCTCGAAGCCAGGCATCACAAGCGAGATCCACAAAGTCAGTCTTCCAAATCGACGAGCTGGGTTCGTAGTTGTCGAGAGCGGAAGGCATTATGGGCCATGAGAAGGCTGCTAAAACTGCTAGGCTACCGAGATTGTAAATATCTATGTTCGCAGGAATGATAGGGTATCCGGAGTAGGTAAAAGAGTTCACAAGGTTCTGCAGACGATCCATAGAGTCGCCACGGGTGGGGTTTTGACAAAAGGACTCCGCGTGACGCCAGGAGAGGGATGGTCGGGATTGCATGAGAACCACCCTGTAGCAATTAAGAATGTACAAGCTCTCCAGCAGACTGGCAGGAAGATCTGGTGAGCCACAGCACTCTTTGAGAAAGAAGGATGTATGAATGAAAAAGTACTTACTGAACATTCTCGGCTTCACTGCGAGGTGACCGAAGGGTAAATTGAGACAGCTCGCTGTACTCTCGCACGGCCTGATTTTAATTAGATACAAATATTCAAAGCACCTTGATATAATCTGGGTGCAACGTTGGGCAATGCATTTGAAATATCTGCTCGAAACGCTTCTACGAATTCGTAGCTCCTCTTGTCGCCGCTACATGGACCATGCATTATGACGGAAGAACACAAGAGAGCCTAAATAGAACTCACAGTCTTGACGACAGTCAAATTCTCCTCTCGGTCGAGGGTGGCAGCATTAAACGGCTTCGCAGTTTTGACCTTTGAGGTTAGTTATGTCGAACATGCTGGACAGTAAAACTTATAGAGGCAAGAAGTAACCTCCGAGAGTCATTGTACATTACTTTTACAATTTCAAAGCTTCCATTTACAGAGCAAAATAGACCTCCAACCGCATCTAGAGCTAGTATATAGTATGATTTGTTTTGATTCGTGATTCTGGACATCTCAAAGAGGGGAAATGTCTTAGGCATGTGTCTGTAAAACAGATTTAAGAACACGTTGAGGACATCTACATCGTGATCTTGGAGCTTGGGTGGTTTTGAGAACCACATGGACTCTACTTTATTGTATGCAGGCGATGGTGCACCAGACTCCCGATCAAAGTATTCCCCCAGGAGCAATGACATGTTCTGTAACGAAGACGAAGACGTGTTACCAAGAACTGATATGCTCGTATCAAAGGCTTCTGTACCCCAAGAGACATCAGAGTCATCCAGCCAAAATGCGCTATTCTAGCGATATATTGTCAGCTCTAAGCATCTGGAATTGCGTGAAGTAGGCCTTACAGAACTGGGTAGCTGACAGAAATCTTGTGCCATATCGATGTTGGGAATATTAAGGAAGTGTATATTCGATTGTTGTAAACGCGGACCAAACCCGTCACCGTTCAAAGGGTGAGGAATGCTTGTTCCAGGTTCAGCTATAAAAGTGGTTGCTCTAGTTTATCCAAGTGCTTGAGATTTGTGAATGTGTATGTGCTCAAACTCGAAGTTGCGCTAGCAGTGGGCGCAAGGTCATTACCTTCGCTGGCTATATGTCTCTCCTCGCATCGCTGGCTAAGCAATCCGCTGGCGGACTGGTGTTTCTCTCTACTTCTATCCTTCCCCTAGATGAGCGTTGGACAGGATAGTTGCATGTAATGCCCGCAAGCTGACATTGACGACACGGTTCGCTGCCATCACAGCGAGCTTTCCGCCTTCGACAGTTTTCGCATGCTGTCCTCACGCGCTTCCTCCCCAAGTCAGCGAATCAAAGAAGTCATCTTGGTGCTCTAAAGTGTGAGAATGGTGCTTCCTCACGTGCGAAGCCCTCACATCAGAACGCTGGCAGGATAGTCCACAGTATCGGCAAGAGAATGGTCTCTCTTTGGTATCTAAACACGATAGGATTGGTTATCGGCTTGATCAAAACACCGAGAAGCTGCTTACGTATGAGCCTGTGACGTGTCAAGTGCTCTGACCTGGCGAAACTGCGGCTACAGATATCACACTGTCAACCAGTCAGATTGCTGTGAAGCACGGTCCATGAGCTGGAAGAGGAAGAGCTCCTGTTAACCAGACCGCATGGGCCAGTGTCATACCTTCTTGGACTCTGTTGGTTCTTGCATACTAACTGTGCGGATCCTTTGGAGACATGGAGGGCATGCCGAGAGCTGTGGGTCTGCAACAAGACTCTGCGGTTGGAAAGGCTGGGGTTTTAGGTGTCCCCAAGCATGGAGCCGTCTCCACGTGCCACGCTGCACCCCGCTGTCGCCTCCCCACAAGTCCGTAAGATCTTACGTGGTATATCCGATGAAGCCGGATGGGCCGGGCCCCCAGGACCTAGCACGTGATAGTCATGTCCACGGCCTTGGGAAACAGATTCCGGCGCCTCCGGAACTGAACGAACGCATTTCGCCGGCCTAGCCATTTATGTCACCCCACTTGATGTTGACTAGTAAGATTATCATTCAGCGGGGAGCGGGATCCGTGCTGAAGAGCTCAAAATTACGGTGGACGATAGGGAGGTGACAACTTTTTCAATTTTTGACCTGGAGCTAATTTTTTTGCTGGTAGAAAATTTGTAAGTAGAATATTTTATATAATTTAATTAAAAATATATAATTAATCCAAATAATATATATATATTTAAAAATTTTATATTATAAAAAATTAAAAATTATTTTAAATTAAATTAGATTGTTATTTAATTTAGTTTAGATTGAATTAAATTTAAATTTAAATTTGAATAGTCTGATTCTGATTCTATATATAGTAAACTGAAGTGGTTCAGTTTATTAAATCTAGAATTATATAGTTTTTAAGGATTATTTAAATCTAATTTAGTTTAGATTTTTAGTTTGGTTTTATTTGAATATCTAAATACTAGTGGATTTCTATTAATAACATTAATAAATTTAAGGTTAATTTTAACTCTATATAGTTTTATATCTATATAATTATTAGTTATTATTAATAAGATAATTATTTTTGAAGTAGTTTTTTATAAATTAAATTCTTATTTTTTTAAATTAAAACTTTATTTTAGATATTTTTATAAACATTAATTATATTATAATGAATTGTTAATATTTAAAATTAATAAATAGTTTTTTAAATTAAAATTAAACTATATTAGTTTTAAATTTATTAAATTAAAAATTAAATTAAATAATAGTTTATATATAATAAATAATTTAATTATAATTTTTTTTAAATGAATAAAGAATATTTTATTATTTTTATTATTTTCATTATTTTTTATCACTTTTATTGCAGTGAAAAATCAGTAGTGAAGAATCTGATAGGCGGTGAAGGATCCGATAGCGGTGAACGGACTTGGGCTGAAAAAGTTGTCACCTCTCTATCGTCCACCGTACAAAATACCTCATGGAACGGAATGGAGGTGGGGTGCGGAAAGTACGAAGGTACTGCACAACTTTTCCTTTTCTCGTCTGTCGCATGGACAGACAGCTTAATTTGAGATCCCTCGTTCGCCCCAAACCACTTTGCGATGGTCCCGCAAGGAAGTGAGGGTGATGTTAATGGCTCCGAAAGACCTCTGCCTCTTGACTGGCCTGGTGAGCGAAATCCTAGTCGGTGGGATGTGCACGATGCCAACGAACCCTCCGGGGCCACTTTCCTCCAGCGATTCAAAGCGGCCTTGCTCCTGAGTGACGACGCTCGCGGCTGTCAGAGATTGGTGACCCGGTTCGTGCTGGAAGAGCCAGTCATCCAGGGCCGGCCCTTAGAAGAAGAGTCGATGGCGACTGTACGTACTGTAAATACCCGCCTTTTTTGGATTTTAGTATAACGCTGACGGACTTCGCTGCAGGGCCCTGCCAGGAGGTACACATATCCAATGTTCATGCTGTCCGGGCTCCCGCTTCTTCCACAGGCGGATCAACTTGCAGCATTACAGACTTCATTCTTTACTTCGTTCAAGACACACATATTCTTAGACTCCATTCTAGTCCCAGGAGGATCCCAGGAAGTCGGTCCACCTTATCTTGCACTGGCTATTGCATGTCTCGCCTCGGCAGTGTCGCAGAATTCTACCTCATGCAGCCCGGTCACCCATCACCTGTTCGTAAATGGAACAAGTTTATGGAGTGCCATATTAAAAGTAGACAGCCGAGAGGCTCGATTGACAGAGGCTGTATTATCAGTACGTTCTAGAAATCCTACCCACGCAGTGGACATATACAATGCCAAGCGAACTTTATGATTCATTTAAAACTATTACACACACATTGCGTAGAACGTCCTTCTGGCAACTTATGGAACACTTACCGCGGATTGTGAAACCTGGAGTATAACTTCCGGGCTTCAAAGCTACACTTCTACAGTAAGACTGCGATGTTTCTCTTTTAACTACCTCCATTCCCGCCATAGCACGAGAAGTAATAGATGGTGCCAACAGATCTCGAGACAGTTACACTTACACGATGTGGGATCGCCACTATATGCGGGCAAAGTACCACTTGGGCGTGACATGAAAGTTAGCAGGTATGATCATAATGTGATGCAAGTCTATCTCTGCGTTTGCAGGCTTTACCCTAACAGTTAGCATGCACTTCTCTCATGAGCTACCTATTTCTTATCGATGTTGTTCGTGTAGTGCATTTCGGAACCATCTCGAATTATACCGCTAGGGAGTTGTTCTTTTAGGATCCCATCTTCAACTCATAATTTTCGTTTAATATACAGACTCTTGACGACTGGATCCGATAGTTTACCTAACAATATCGAGAACAAGCAAGACGCCATCATACGACTAACAGCCATCTTATCGGATATTCTCTATGTGTATATGTCTCTCTCGAGTCACCTGTCTCTAATTGGCGCGTCAGCTGGCTACTAAGTCTACTTACAAAACCATCATGCCTCTCTATCTGCCAAGTCCGAGCTTGTTCGATTAAGCTCATTACTGGGACTAGCCCTAGATCTTTGGTCGCATCATTTTTCTCGGGCTGTTGGTAAAGAGATCCTCTCGTTGTTCTTCTACTTTTGCGAACTATGCCTCGCCTGTCCCGATGTCTAGCTCCTACCCCATCTAGCCAACTATCCACCTGCTACGTCAGCCACAAACACAGAAGACTTCAGAGGCGGAGTCGGGACCCTCAGAATTGCCATAACGGATGAAGCACTGAACTTCGCATGGCTAGTTCTTGACAACGTCAATATCCGAGCCGAGTCAACAGATATGAAGGAGTTTTCAATATGGCTCCCTATCATATTGTTTACTCGGCATTGATAGTCTGGCAGAACTTGCATCTGAGACCTGCCTCGGGCTCTAGGAATGGGACACTGAAAGTTTTGGGCATGTTCAAGAATGAGTTGGAGGTGATGCCTTCGGAGTGCTGTTCAGAGATGTGTAAGACATTGTACACATTGATGAATGGCTAAATAAGCGACATCTCTTAGCTAGGGGGCTAATGGCTCTACGGGGAGCTAGGAACTAGCTATATAAGTTTTCAGGCCCTACACAGCACTACTGCATCAAGCCTTAGATCTATCTAGGTACTTTAGTACGTACTTTAATGTACCGTAGAGATGTACTGTATTATTAACTCCGGATTCTCTACCGAAAGAGATAGTAAAGCGGGGTAGACGCAATGTATTTTTTTTTTGACCCTTTATCCCTCTTCTCCTCACCTAAGTCTAGCATTTGGAGGTCCGGCCGGAGTAAGATATGGGGGATAAAGTGGGGGTAAGGGTGGCGGGGGCCCTTAGTCCTATTGTTCGCAAATTTACAGCAACTTGCACTGAGAAACACCACGGGCAAAATGATATTACCGTAATACAGACGTATCCGTGGTGGTTAGTTCATGTGGGCCCGTTGTACCGGAACTCCCACTCGACAAATATTGAGCTACTTTCGACTCAGCGGGTTCAAACCTATGCCTATAAAACAGTCGTTTTACAGCGCTGAGTGAATTTTGCTTCTTCAGTGACGGCTGCATCACGTGTCTCGATAATGTATCTTTATCTTGCAGCTGGCCTTTGTGCCATTCTTGTCTCTGCTACCTGGAGAGTAGGTCGTTGTCACCTTGAGTCCATTCCCGAATCCAATTGACAGTCTATCAGATTATATCCAACGTGTTTCTTTCCCCGCTGGCTAGTATTCCCGGCCCATTCCTTGCCAAAATCACTTCGAAATGGCTCATCCTAGTTGAGATGTCTGGAAACCGCACCACCACAATCCACAAACTACATAATCAATATGGTCCCACGGTCAGAGTTGGGCCAAACGAGGTCTCATTTGCAGACGGCAATGTGATTAAGGAACTCTATGGGCAGTCGTCAGATTTCATGAAAGCACCAGTCTATGATCAGTTTTCGCAGCATCCGGTGGGAATCTTTAGCATGCAAAACAAGGCAGAGCATAGAGAAAGGAGAAAGTTGCTCAGTCACGCTTTTGCGCAGTCAAATTTGCTACAGATTGAGCCGGTTATTGGTGACACAGTGAAGCAACTGCTAAAGAAGATTAATGGAACAATGGGGCAACCGACAGATGCACTTGTGCTTTTGAGGATGTTTGCTCTTGATGTAGTTGGCAAGTCTATTCGGCAAATATCTTGACCTCCAACGGCTAAGTAGTGATACAGGCGAGCTCTTCCTAGGCAAGTCCTTTAGTGCCCTCGAAAGCATCAAACCTCCGACCTTTATCCGGGACCTTGATGCATACTTCATTGTTATGGGCATGAAAGGTAGCTTCCCCTGGCTATTCGAAATCGCTTCTTATTTCCCCTCAACAAAATGGCAGGAGCTACAACAAGCTCCCAAGAGGCTGCGTACAGTGAGTATTAATCACTAAATTGTTTTTTCCCGTCTTCGTCGAAAAGAACACCAATCTAACTTTACTTAAGTACGGCGAAAATGCCCTAAGAGACTACCGCTTACGCCAGGATGCTGGCCCCAAAGGGGCCAAGTATAAAGATCTTCTCCACAAAATGCTCACATCCCATGAGACCGTCTCCACGCCTTCCGGAAAACCCACTGAAGTGCCAATGACCGATGAACAAATAAGCTTGGAGATTGGCAACCTTGTGTTCGCCGGTACCGACACAACGTCTACGACACTCACATACCTCTTCTGGCAGCTCGCACAATGCAAGTGGCAGGAACTTCTCCGTGATGAACTGGCAATCACACAATTAGTCGATGGAATAGCTACGTTTGGTGATATCGATCAATTCCCAATCCTTAACGCTGTAATTGCGGAGAGTTTACGGCTATTCCCGGCGGCGCCAGCGAGCTTGCAGCGTGAGACTCCTGCCGGCGGGAGGGAATTAGCTGGATATTTCATTCCTGCTGGAGTAACTTGTTCCCGCAGTCCCATACTTGATTGTTCAAACTGACGCTCGCATAGACTGTAGTATCGATGCAGTGCTACACTACTCAACGCGATGGAGCCATATTCCATGATCCCGAGACCTTCGATCCTACCCGTTGGATGCAGTCGCCGGAGAAATTAACGGATATGAACTTATACCAAATGCCATTCTCCAAAGGAACACGGGCATGCCTCGGCAAGAATCTTGCCATGATGGAACTGAAGCTCGTGGTAGCTGCAGTGATTAAGCAGTATCAAATCAAGGTGGCAGATAGCATGAAACCTGGGGACATGAACATGAAAGACCATTTCCTGACGTTGCCGGCGTGTGGACGATGCGATCTTGTATTCACCCCGTTGTAAGGTATTCCTATCATAATGGCTCAAATAGGTAGACAGGAATTTACCAATCGTGATGAATAAGAGACGAAAACGTTGAACTGAGTATGTATCAAGTTAGATGCAAGGCTAACTTTTATTACTATATTGAAGTTTGGGGCACCCTAATACGTCGCGACCAGTAATGATTCAATCGGCCACTGACCATCTCTGAATGGAGGAAGCTTCGTTTCAGGTAGAAGGGGCCGCACTGCTTAATTTCGATTGCAGATAATTCGCCAAATTTAATCTCGAGAGCTATCCAAGGCCATAGAAATCCTAATTTTCCGCACACTGTTTACCATGACGTTCGACAAACGGAGATAAGATCTGAAGATCATTAGTATTTAGGGAGGATAGCTCTGACACGAAATTGAAAACATGCATTCTTACACTGTTCTACTTTCACGGGCTATACCTTGCCTTTCTGAGCTTCGAGAAGCGTTAAAACAGAAAGAACCTGGCGCACTTCTGGCCCCGTACTGATTCCTTGCGATTACCTTGGTTCATCTTGAAACCCACAATTTAACCTTCGGCTATGGAGATATGGAATCCTAGTTTATGCAGGCTCAATCGTCTCGAAGATAATGTACTCCAAAAGTCAAATTGCAATGTAGAGTTCAAGTTCTCTATTTGTTCAGCATATATTTGACAGTACAATACCTATGCAGTACATTGATGGCTAATGTTCTCGTTATTGTAATGAACAATATCTAGACACTCAACCATATGCGATATTTCGGTGTATCAAAAAAAATGGAAAGTGAAATTATGTCATACAGCAGAAGATGAAGGCAGCCGTTGGCTCTAATTCTTCTTTTCAAGCTCTAATTCCTCCGCCAAAGCTGCTCCCCCTATTATGATTTCCTGGCAGTCCTGCAAAAAGTATATCATCCTGACCCACTCTTTTTTGCTCAGATTTCTCCACGCATGGTTCTTGCCCCTCTAGATCACTACATCGCCCCTATTCAGGCTCTGGGTCTTGCCGTAATCCAAGACCCGTTCCACCATCCCATCAAGCACGATGCCGTAGTCCGGACTCCGCGTCCGGTGCATCATAGACTCATAGCCAGGTGCAAAGTCAACAATGCGCAGCACCGTACCATTGGGATTCACGATTCCTAGTTTGCCCGAGGCAACTACAGCATCATGGGCTTTAAATGTCGGCGCGAGGCGGGAAACGTGGATGTTGTGTACACGGCATTGAAAGCCATGGATGCCCTATCGACGGAATTCCATAGTCCAGGTCTCCATTCTTGGATTATTGCCTTTCTTGTGGATTCATCGTGTCCGGTGAGGTAGGCTGTGACTTCTGGGAGGCCGCGGCTAGCTGCTGATATTTGGGAGGTTGACATGTTTCGATGTGATTGAGTTGGTTTAAACAGCAGATTCCTTGGTGGTAAATTACTTATATTCTGACAGCGTGATGGAACTGCGTCAATCAGATATTTTGTTTCACAAGGCTCTTGGGCTTTGATATATGTACAGGCTCGTGGCTGCCAACAACTTCATCTGGACGGAATCTCCATTCGCCGAATACCCCACAACCAAGGCTCTCTCCGGCTCCATAGGCAAAGGGCTTTACCATGCCCCACACAAAACCGGTGTGAACCCCAGATCCTCCAAACCACCAAAAGTCTAAGTTCACCTGTACCCTATCGTCAATGGCTGTCAGGGCTGCCCGCCTTTCTTTGCTGTCCGATTGGCTCCTATAATTAATATCCCATCATTAGAATTAATAATAATAGTTTAATTCAATAAATTAAAAAGAAAAAGCAAAAATAGAAAAAAATCTTTAAAAATATATTACATTAACCGTGCCATCCTGCGCACCAACGCTCCCACTTTTGGTGCGCACCGGACCAATCCAAATTTCAGTCCAACCCAAATTTTTCATGTTTTTCAATAATTCACCTTATTACTCAATACCATGAAGTCGGACATATATAAAAAAAAAAGAAGAGACTATTCTAAAGGCTGTAGAAGCCTATAAGCTTAAAAAAACTAAAAAAATCGCTGAGTTGATGTATTAATATAGTGTTTCTTATTAGCGACTTTGGGATCGCATTATAGATAAGAATTCGCGCTTAATATACGTATCTTTCAATAAATTATTTATTGAGGACCAGAAGAATGTAATAATAAGTTAGATTTAATATCTAAATAATATTAGAGTGCCTCTTATAGTAAATATAGTAAGAAATTACGCAAATTCGATCTTGTAATGAATAAATTATAATAAAAAACCTCTTTCTATTATTAAATCAAATTAATTATATTGATTTATTAAATGACTACTAAATCAATATAAGCGAATTAAATAAAAGTTAATTAATCTAAAATGTTTTTATTCTAAAGATTTAGGCGTTATTTAGATATGATATGATTATTTAGAAATTCTCTATTAAATATATAAATTTACTCCATTAAATATCTATAATTTTGATGAGATAGGCTTCCAAATTGGTTAAAAAAAAAATGAGATTATTATTATGATTTATTCTGAATCTAATACTTGATTTAGAAGCATTTTTAATTATAAATTTATTATATTTGTTAAATATATATCTATGAATAACATAATTATTTCTATACTAATTATTATTTTTGGCAAAAATTATATAAAGTATTGATTTTAAATTAAGAGTATTAATAGTGATTATTTAATTGCTATATCAAAAAAAGGCTTTATTGATGATAAGATTGTATTGGAATAGTTTTATTATTTTAATATTATAATTTATAAAATAGCAAAAAATGATTATTAATTGATTATTATGAATAACTATAATAGTTATTTAATATGGGGTTTTATTATTTATTATAATAAATAAAAAATCATATTATATTATTTTCTAGTTTATATAATGTATCTTCTTTAATCATTCAATTCTATGCCTTTTCAATAATATAAGTATTTTTATGGTAAAGTAATTAATCAATAGATTCAACTAAATAGTATGATATTTAACTTTTTATATATATTTTATAATATTTAATAATAAACTTTCATTCTATATATAATTCGTTTAGAATTTATATAGTATAGTATTTGGTTATTGAATTCTAAGATTATATTAATATTATTAAAAAATGTAATTAATTCTGATTCTAAATCTTCTATTATTAGTATATTAAGTAAAGATATTCGAAGCTTTTTTATAATATTATCTATTTTATCTCTAAGAATTACTTTAAAGCTTTATAAATGTATTAAAAAATTTTAAAAAGTTTATATAAGATTAATCTCTTTTCTATTAAAATATAATAGCTTAATAAGATCTTTTTAACAATTTTATATAAACTGAATTAGATGCTTAATCTGCTAATAATATTAAGCATTTTATAATACTTAATTAATATAAATCTTAAAAAGAACTCATTATTAAATTAAAGTAGGATATATACTAGGCTGTCATTTGGTTCGGTTCGGACCGAACCAAAACCGATCTGAAATCCGAATGGTCTGGTTCTGGTCCTATATACAGTGAACTGAAATGATTCAATTCACCAAGTCTAGAACTATATGGTTTTTTAGAATCTATTTAGATCTGATTCAGTTTAGATTTTTAATTTAGTTTTATCTGAATATCTAAATACTAGTAGATTTCCATTAATAATACTAATATATTTAGAATTAATTCTAATTCTTTATAATTATTATTGATTATATAATTATTTTAAAGCAGCTTTTTATAAATTAAATTCTTATTTTTTGAATTAGGACTTTATTTTAGATATTTTTATAAATATTATAATAAATTCTTAATATTTAAATTATAATCTAAGAATTATTTAGATAATGATAATACTTTTTCTATTTTTAATATATATTTTTTTAAATTATATTATATAGTATATTTAATAGAGTAAATATATATAAATTTCTATATTTATTCTATAATATTTATCATTATCTATCTATTTTTTAGTATATCTCAATAATCAGATAAAAAATTATAATTTAAATAATTAATTATAATTTTTATATTATTTATTTATCTAATTCACTAAAATTTAGAGAGATTTTAATATATTTTAAAAATAAAATCTAACTATAGTTAAAAATTCTTTTATATAGTTCAGTTATTTGAATGAAAATTAAATTAGATTTAGACCAATCTAATTATAATTAGTATAATGATAATACCTTTTCTATTTTTTATTTATATTTTTTAGATTATATTATATAGTTAATTTATTTATTGAAAAATAATATATATATATTTCTATATTTATTCTATAATATTTATTATTATTTATTTATTTTTCAATATATCTTAATAATTAGATAGAAAATTATAATTTAAATAATTAATTCTAATTTTTATATTATTTATCTATCTAATTCACTAAAATTTAGAGAGATTTTAATATATTTTTAAAAATAAAATCTAACTATAATTAAAAATTCTTTAATATAGTTTGATTATCTGAATAAAAATCAGACTAGACTTGAATCAATCTAATTATAATTAATAATTCTTCTTTAGCATAATTTAATTTCAGTTTAGAAAGCTAGAACCGTTCAATTTTCAGTTCTGGTTTCAATATTAGGGACCAAATCGAACCGACCCACTTTTGGGTTTGGTTCAGAAACTCAGGACCAGAACCGAACCAAATGACAGCCTATACTCTCCACAGAAAGTTTCAGCCTAATCAGCCCGAAATCCCACACACATAAATTTCTATAGAAGTAAATTAATAAATATTATTAAAAGATAAATTTTAATATAAAAGATAAGATATTAATTATTATAAAAAATTAGAATATAAATTATTTAAATAAGAAATTAGAATATTAAATAATAGATTTTTATTTAATTATTATTCAATATAATAATATCTATAAAATAAATCTTCTTCTAAATATCAAAGTATATTCAATTTTTTTATTAAATAAGTTATATATTGAATTATTAATAAATTCTTTATTAGAATAGTATTTAGATCTATTTTTAGTAATTAAAATAAATAATAAAACTAAATATAAAATAGAAATAGTTATTAATTTATAATTAATTTATTAATATTTATAGTATTATATTTGATGGTAAAGTTATAAGGATAAAGATTCTATATAATATTTCATATTAAATTTTAAGAATATATTAGATTTAATATAATAATTTTATAATATATATTTAGATAAATTAAAATCTTTAAAATATTTATAAATATAATTGATGATAGTTATAAATAATAAATATCTAAAGAATTATTTAGATAATGATTTAGTATATATAAAATATTAAGATTATATAATTAAGAATAGTTATTTTTTTTTAAAAAAGGATAGTATAATAACTAGATTAATATCTTAATTATTTTAGATGATTAAGATGATTAGAGTTAAGATTAGTAAGATATATGTTATATGGTATATGTCTTATATTAATCATCTATTTATAACACGCACAGCTATATATAATTCTTTCTTCACACTTAGAATTCTCGTTCAATGATACCATAAATTCCTGTTTATGCCGACCGTAACAATAAGCAAATTAATAGAAATCGTTATAATCTAAGGCATGTATGCATTCTGGTTATGTGTGGAAGATTGTTCTACGGTATATGAGAGGGATCTAGGGCTCTAATATATAGCCAAAGGTATACAAATAATATCTATCTATAGCCTGAATGGTTTCACTATGGCGAAAGCCCTTTGATCTTGACAGAAATACTGAGAGATTAATTATGACTTAAAATTAATAAAAATTATTATTTATTTAAAAAAAATCACTTTATGTATAAATTCTATCTAATTTTAAATACTTTAGATTATAGTTAATATTCTACTTTTAAAATAAAGAAATATTACTATATCAGTTACTATTAATATAAACTAAATTAATAGCTTTTTAAAATATTAAACTGATCTTGAAATGTAATTTACACATTAATCAACATATTTCTAAGCTAAATATAAAGATCTAAAACTTATAAATAAATATTTTAATAATCACTAATATATTCAAAGTATAACATTATATATAAAGATATTTATAACTTAGATAAGACTAGATTGACTTTAGAAATTACTACTATAACCAAGTAGCGACCGAACAAAATGGAAGAGGATACAGAGTACCTGAAACAGCTTCGTCAAGTCTATCGTTTAGTAATACATTCAGTTAGAACTATTTTCTGCGCCAGCCTGGCCGCCCTTCGCCTTATCTTGACATGAACTTCCTAATCTCGATCAATCTCTCCCCCTATGCATTGCATTTATATCACTCTGGTTTCACACTTTATCTGATTTCAGCATCTATATGCTCCCTTTTCTTTTTCAGCTCTAATCATGACGAAAACAGCAATGTCGCAGTTGCAGCAATAACCCTCCTTAGAGCCGAGACGCTCATGGTGGTAGCCATTGTGTACGAGCTATCAGACTTTCTCCCACAGCCTACCTTTGGTCAAGTACAGTCTGGCAGCGAGATAGAACGCAGTTCCAGCACCAAGCATGCAGCCAGTAAAAACTTGCAGCTTCCAATAGCTCCCGTCTGCTCCTGATATTAAGGCACCCCCAATTGGGCTGCCAGTGAGAGCAGCCACAGACATGAATGCGTACATTGTTCCGGAACGGGTGCCTATCTCCTTGAGGTCCGAAATATTCGCTACCAAGGCTGGGCTGATGGCAGTGTATGTGCCAGAACTGAATCCAAATAAGGCGGCAAAAGCAATGGCTGACCCATGACTATGCCATGGCAGCCACAATGCCAGCACAAAGATGGTCGAAAGGGCTGCGGCTACCATTGACACGTTGAAGCTGCCAACTTTGTCTGCAATGTATCCCGGTAGAATACGCCCAATCCCACTGTTGCAGTCAATATCATGCCGCTAGACATGGGAAAGAGTAAATCGACGCCTTCTGCGTCGGTAAAGATGGGGTGCCCAGATCTTACTTACCTCGCCGCATTGAAGATTGAAACCAGGTACTCAGCCATATCATCTGACAGGCCGACATATTCACCGTAAGTTACCATGAATGTAATGGGGATGAACATTCCCATGGAGTAGAAAAAGCCCGCCAAGGAGGTTAGCACAAAGGAGAACGACGTAAAGGGGCGAAGATAGGCCATGATGCCGGTCTCCTTTGGTTGAGGTGGGACTCGTGATCGAACGGTTAGATTTGTCAAGAGAAGCAGGCCGCATAAGAGGAAAGCGCAGACACGCATCGTCCACCCAAACCCAATACGTGGTATTAAGTGATTGACCAAAATAGGCAAGACAGTGCCACCGAGACTCGAGCCGCTAGCTGTGATTCCTAGGGCCAGGGCCCGCTTTTGTCGGAACCAGGTGGTGACGCAGCTGAAGGACGGATACAGAACCATGCTCGCACCCAGGGGGCTGCAAATCGCCTGGGACAAGATGAACTGGTAGTACTGAGACGATATCGAGGCCATCATCAAGCCAAAAACGTGTAGCAGTGTCCCCACAAGCAGAAGGTAGCGCGGGCCAAAATTGTCAAATGCTCGCCCCACGAACGGTGCCTGAGTCATAGCTTGAGCACGCGTAACACAAAAGGCTTAAAACCAGGACCTACAGAGATAAACATTATAAACATTGACAATGCCGGAATCCATGAAACAGTACTAGGTGACAAGTTCTGCAACTGGTTTGCCACGTAGTATGCCTGAAAAACGCCGACGCCTACCTTACATGTTAGCGATCGGAGTCTTGTTTCTAAACAGCAACATGGGAGAAATCTTCGCACAGTTAGTCCAGCCAAAGCTGACAAAAAGTCCAAAAAAGGCCCCCGAGACAACCAACCAAGCCTTCAATCCCCCATCTGGGAATTTGGCATCAGGCTTGGGTGACTCTTGTTTGGGTTCCTCAACCCTTGGCTCTGCAGGGTTAGGGTCCATGGCAGTTCTATCAAGCGTGTGTGGAAATTACTTTGATCGAAGAAAAATATGACAAAGTAATGGACGCAAATTATACCAGCCAGGAGAGTCCAAAGGGAGATTGTGAACGTATTTGGTGCAATGTGTGTACTGTATCCCATGTTACATACACAGCTCTTACGACCGCGTGCAGTTGGGGCCCATAGGGCTACTTATGCTAACCACACAACCGGACCCCTGAGATCCAAGGCATCGATACAGATCACATCCTTGCTTCAGCAGTTTTGCATGAGTCAAGTCACTGCAAAATTTCGAGGTACTGTATGCCAATATAAGGGCCGATACAAGATATTTTCACGATGGTAGACCAGTCTTTCTATGACCCTGGTAAAATTGCTCGCCAGTGATCCACCTAGCTCGTCGGCTGGGGGGCGCGGGGTGGGGGCTCCGCGGAGGTCCGACTTGGCCAATGGCAGTGGATCTCCGACAACTAACTCAGGCCCCTTTTAGCGGGCTGCTCGGGGGTCCGAATGAGATTAACATTCTCCCGAATGTTAATCTCTCTTTCCTCATGCACTTCGGCTAGTCGACGCAGCACCTTGCCTCGCTGTCCAAGTTTCGGCCAACTCAAAGACGAGATGAAGCGTTCGCTATCAGAAAGCAGACGGAGCGCCTGGCAACAGCCGGCTTCTTGCGAATTCTGCCGCTCCAAAAAGATTCGTTGTGACAAGAAACGGCCCTGTTCGAACTGTACGACTAGACAGCTAGCATGCCGATATGTTTCTGGTACGTCCAGTGCGAAGAAAGTTCGTTAATGCGACAGGGTGTGAATTCTGGTCGATGCTAAAAGCCACACAGAAGATGCAAACCGGATCACTGAACCGGAGAGGGAGGATTATGGCGACAGGTTCTTATCGTTAAGGCGGTAGGCTTACGGAGAAGATAATATCACAGGCATGACATATTTCGCTAATGTTCAAAAGGCATGTCCAGGAATTACAAAGTCGAGTCCACAAACTGGAGAGCTTGGGTTCTTGCCAGCCCGGATCCGCCCTGGACATAGCGCAACATCGCCCTGCAAAACGAGCTCCCATGGTCGGCCGGCAAGAAGAAATATCACATACTTGGAGAAATTTGGAAGAATTCGCAGCAACCCCGCAAGCTGAACCCGCAGCGAAGCCATTGATCTCGCTCGCGCCAAATTGCGCTATGCCAACGTTCGCGAATCATACGGGACCCAGCAGCTTGATCACTCATCTCCCCCATGTACAGCTTGCTCAACTATTGTTCAAACATTATGTGCAGACAGCCGACAGCTTGCATAGGGAGATACACATTCCTTCCACGCAAGCACTCATGGAAACTACGTATGCCCAACTGTCAGCATCATTACCTGTATCCACTGAGACCTTGGTCTTATTCTACAGCATCTTCGCCTCCAGCTCTTTCTATGTGTGCCACGAACACTCACATCAAGTGCATCGCGAGCTCAAGGATGCTCATGAGTTGCAGCCTGTATGGAAGAGGATAGCACTGGAGTCGATCATGAGCCACGACGCGGTTGCCTCCTTAACTCTGACATCATTGCAGTCTATATCCATCATGATGTATTTGACGTGGGATTCCGAAGGCCAGTCAACGACATTCCATACTCTACGGAGCCTGGCACATACGAAAGCTATACGGATGAAGCTTCACCGATTGGATGCAGATACGGCAACTGACTTTATCCAAGCTGAGTTGAAGCGACGACTCTGGTGGCATCTTGCAGCAACAGATTGGTTTGTAAACTCGGTTTCGTCTGCACTTGTCAGCCAATGCTAACTCTTAAATAGGTTAATTGCCAGCGTGCCCGGTCCGCAGGAAGGCATTTATAGCTTCCATACTAAACACATGTGTGTTCGGTATCCTGCCAACCTTGACGACGAAGACATCCGGCCGGACGGGCTTTATACAGAAGGCCTCCCAGCTGATCAGCTGACGCAAATGTCATATTTTCTTCAGCGGTTGAAGTTTGCAGAGCTCTGTCGCGACGTTATGGACAGCCTCCCAAGCGACGAGGCGAGCCTTCCCTACGATCAGGTCTTGAGGATGAGCAGCTGCTACACTAACTTTCTGGACCGCCTTCCCTGGTTCTTTTGCCCCGATGAGAAAAGGACAACCCAGGCGGCAGTTCTGGCAAGCCGACGCCCTTATCTTCTCCGCCAGAAACCCGTGTTGCTGTACGGCATATACTCACGTATCGGTCGTTTACACCGACTGTTTCTGCTACGAGGCTTCGACGAGAAAGGATTCTTTTCTGTTTCTCATTCCTTGGCAATCCAGTGCGCTGAGAGAATGATAGAGATCCGACGCATGGTCGAGCCTGGTGATCTCTGCCTGCACGTCCATTCTCACAGCATGGACCAGCACTCATTCAGTGCGCTGCTGCTGTTGTCGATAGCCGTCTTGGGGGAAAAGGACACAGAACTCGCGCAGAAGCGCAAGGCGACCCTGCTCCCCATCTGCAGCATGCTAAAGGAGAAACAAGGATCGCTAAGTCGAGCTGGCCATGGCATTTCTGCTGCTATCGACCGCTTGGTGGAGATCTTGGAGAGGCCGAATCAAGCGCATGATTGGCCGGTGGCTCACCCAGACAGAACACCAATCCAAGATGTAGCAACACTCTGGGAGGAATTAATCAGAGAACTGCCCAGTCCGTCAGACATTCCATGGGACGACTTTCTCGACTGGTAGGGTCCTGAGGCTCACACCCCCCTATAAAATGGCTGTATTACGCCTGTTAGGTCATGGGCAACTACCGCTTAACTGCATGCTCCCTTCTGCCGCGCATCTTTCGCTATTCGTCCAGCCCTTACATAATTTTCTATTTCACTTTCTCCTTGTACATGACTTCTTGTTGCCGTGTTCTCGTGGGGTAAGCGGTTGCAAGTTGCCCGTGAAGGCGCCTTCTCCTGGTGTCCGCCTTCCTATCATCAGCTGCTGGCGCGAATCTGCTATCATGGCACGAGGTGGATGGGTTAGTAGGAGAGGGGGTTGTGTGTGTGATTGTGGGTGGGTCAGGTCGTTTGGTGTCCTTCGTCAGGTCGTCCTGTCACTATGGCGTATTTGATGGTGCCATGTCGGGTGTCCAATCGTCCACAGTCATACGTGCCGTCCGTCCCAGGTGGAAGGGCGGACTGCCTGTTCTCGCGCCAGTCTCTTGCTGCATCTCTACACGTTGCGAGATACATCTTGGGTATTGGAAGAGAGAATGGTTTACTGTTATACGGCCTCTCCGCAAGGGAATTCGTCAGAGGGCGCTCTTGAACAGGTAACCGTGCAGTCGTATCGTTCCCGTTCGTGGTTGAACTAGCACTCTCGCTTGCGCCGCCGTCAGCGCGCCGTAAATACTACGCGTGTGCTTTCCCGGTAGTGCCGTGTTGATTCTTTTGGACAATTTCCGCACATCATTTGGCATGGTCTGGCAGTCCGCTTGGTCTTTCTAGCTGCCGACTCAATCTCCGTTGTACGGCCCAAGTCCTGTGCTTGCTGGTAGAGTTGCTCAAACCCCTCAAAGATGGACGATTGAAGCGGAGTCAAATCTTCCACTACCTGAATGTCGTTCTTACGCTCAAGATCTTTGCGAAAGTTGGTGGTAACTGAAGTGCTATACGGGTTCTTCTGGGGACAATGACGGCAATAGAGAAGGCGATTCCGTCCCTTAAACTCTTTCTCCCCTTCTCTGCCATACGAGCATGCTTCTAGGTTGCAATGGCGGCTTTGCCTCGTGTATTGCGAGACCTAGACGTCGAAGCGTCCGACAAAATGGATTCAGGATCGAAGAAGGATAACACACTTTCAGAATCCATAACTAACTAGCTCGTTGTGGATTCGTCTCGTGTGTGAAGGTGTGTTGGTGGGGAAAGTGAATTTACGGTCGTATGGGTTTTAGTGAGGTTCAAGGCCCCGGGTCCCTGGACAATGGCGCCATTTGGCCAATCATTGAATGAGTATTGAAATACGGGGTTGCACTTGCTCGGTACTTGCTGTGGATATTCGCAAATATCGTCACTAGTCGCTGATTGTGTCGCTGATTTCATGCGGACGCCCCTATTCACGTTCGCTACATCGCCCTGCCCTGACCATTTTAGCGACTGGCCAGCTCGGCGGCGCGGGTTTCGCTGTCACCGGGACAGAGTCCCTGGCCCTCCGCCGCCCACCATCCCGTCTCTGACCTGGAACGTGTCGTAGGATCTGGAAAGACAATGTCTCGGTACGCAAACATGTCTCTAATTTTGTGAGCGGTCTTGAGACTTCTTGCGCATGCCTGGTTCAAGCTACTTTTGCGACAGGATTACAATATCTCGCACTGAATCCCTCCCGATTGCATTCTAGCTAGGTTTAAAAATAATTAAATTATATAAACCATTTTATTAATATAAATAGTATAGCCTCTTGCGAAATTTATTAATAAAAGTACATTTGACCTCAGGGCTTGAAAATTTTGTCAAATCTGACAAAAATTTGTGTTTCGTAACAGTATTGTGATGTTGAGCAGTGATTGCCTCATTCGGTTACTGCATTATTTTAAATCATTGTGGGTCTGTTGTCCAAAAAAAACGGTCAGACAGGGCGCATGAGCCAAGAAAAAGGCTCATGCGACCTAAACCCCCCAAAAATCACCGTCAATTTGAATTATAGCCGAAGTGGTGGCTTAGTCCACCACAACACTATTGATACCATACACAGTAATAACCCAGTATCAGCGGGGCGCGATTTCCAGGTCAGCACATCCCTCTCTGTTGGCTGCCTGAGACACTGTTTAACCGGTTTGGTACCCTGCGGTTATGTATTTCTTTTTTCTTTTAGCCACGACGAGAAGTGATCAATCCTTTCTTCCATCTTGCACAAACCATACAAATCCGCCTGCTCGCCATGAGAGATGTACGTAACGCTCTCAATTTGGGGCACCAACTCCCTCGTTTTATTCCTAACTAACCCCTCTAGGTTCATCAAATGTCGCCGTTCTTCCGCTGTCCTGTAGAAGTGTGCGACTCCATCCTAGCATATCTACCTCGAACTGATCTTCGCAATATCTGCCTTGTCCGTAAGGATCTACGCAAAACTCGCTGAAGCATATCTGTATTCAGAAATCCACTTCACATTGCAGAAATCTAAGCCTCACCCCATCACTTCACTGCTTCCTAGCCTCTTACGTCAGCCACAACTAGCCACTTATATTCGCAGAATCTCGCTCGTCGGAGCTAACTTTTCTATGCACGCCGGTGCTCAGAGCATAAAATTTCCCCACTACCACCATCTGAGTGAGAAGTCATACAATAGTGTATAATTATTAAGGTTATTAAATAGTAGTATGCCTAGACGTCTACTAATAATAGTTACAAGAATCTTAATATAGCTAGTACTGGTGTTGCTTAAGATATAAAGTTTGCTCGCTACCACCACGCGAATTTCAGAATGCCGAGACTTGCCCGATACGGGAGCCATCCGGGAAGGTCAGGAGCAATGGTACCTTATGTCTAAACTCCTGCTGATGACTACGTATCTACTCCGCTGACAAGTCGTGTTTCTTTCCTCTCCTGCAGCGACGGCCATAATAACCAAAGTGTCCATACGCACCAACGGCCTGCTACTAGCAGCTGTTACTGCTTCATTTTCCTTCTCTCCCCGACACAGCGGCGGCTCATCAGTAGGTAACCTCAGCAAAGATGTCCCCGTCAGAGCTTCCAGTAGCCGACCCAGTCGAATCGTTCTGGACGGCACTTCCAAACCGACTGGATGACTTTCGAAGCTCAGAATTATTGCCTGCTGAGTGCGATGTCCTGATTATCGGTTCCGGCTTTGCTGGAGTGGCCACGGCGTACCATATGTTCAACAGTACTGGCCCACAATCTAGCTTTAGGACCGTCATGCTCGAGGCTAGGAAGCTTACGAGCGGAGCGACCGCCCGGAATGGAGGACACATCAAGCCGGACACATACATGGGCGCGACCAAGATGGCCTCCGTGTACGGCATGAAGCAGGTAGCGGCCTTGCAGAAGTACGAAACAGAGCAGGTTTACCTAGTCAAACAGCTGGTCGAGAAGGAAGGTCTGGACTGCGATTTTCACCTCACTAGAGCATGCGACGTCATTATGGACCCAGTTGTTGCCGAACAGAAGGCGAGAGAATACCATCAACTGGTGAAGGAGGGACTGGTAGATACCAAGGACATCGCATACACACCTAAAAAGGATGCAGAGCGGATCTCGGGCGTCAAGGGTGCGCAGTGCTGCTTTACGTTCACGGCTGGCCACATGTGGCCGCGGAAAATGGTGCACCAGATGCTGGAGGGACTGATACAGCAGGGTCTGCAGGTCCACGCACATACGCCCGTGCTTGAAATATCCAAGAGCAGAGACGAGCTGGGCAACTGGACGGTGAGCACGCCTCGCGGCGCGATTAAGGCAAAAAAATTGGTGGTGTGTACGAATGCGTACACTTCGTCTGTCCTTCCCCAGTACAAGAACAAGATCATTCCCGTGCGCGGTGTGTGCAGCCGCATCAGCTCGCCCAAGGGCAGCAAGATGCCCCACCTCCCCTCCACGTATTCACTCCACTTCGACGCACTGCAGTTCGATTATTTGGTCCCGCGGACCGATGGCAGCATCATTGTGGGAGGCGCGAGAGCGGCCTTTTGGCATGATCGCGATTCTTGGTGGCATAACAAGAACGACAACGAACAGGTTAAGGACAGTGCCAAGTATTTTGACAGCTACATGCAGAGATACTTCCACGGCTGGGAGGATTCGGGCGCAAAACTGGAGCGAATCTGGACTGGCAGTATGTTTCTTGAATGAAGCCATGCTGGGCGACTACTAACGGCGTGCAGTCATGGGCTACAGTTCGGATCTTGTGCCACACATCGGCGAAGTGTCAGGCGCCCCTGGTCAGTATATCTGCGCCGGGTTTTCTGGACATGGGATGCCCCATATATTCAGTGCTAGCAAAGGTGTGGCCAGAATGGTGGTTGAGGGTGTCTCGTTCGAGCAGACTGGCTTGCCTGCGGTGTGCAAGGAAACGCAGGCCAGACTAGACTCGACCGTCAACCATATGGAAGACACCTTAAAAGTTGTTTGGGAGAGACCTAGGGAAAAGCTGTAGTAGCTGATGGCTCAGCGGGGGAGGGGTTCCATTTCAAAATCTGTCACTGTGAGAACCGGTAGTACCTACAAAAATTATTTTTGGACTGGGCCCTCTGTCCATTGGCAGGCTGTTCACTGGTGCTGCTGGCCACGATCAAGCAGTAAGTATGTCAACGCTGGATCTCACGTATAATCAGAGCTGTCAAGAAATGTGACGATCCTAACCACCAAGTATGCTAGTTGTTTTGGTTCCTAATTGCTTTGTATTTAAATTGCCTGTCATTCTATTATTCCTAGAATCAGAGATCTTTAATGCTGCAATTCGATGTGTCGCAGAGCTAGAATTTCGACAACAGCAATTATGAGTAGTCCGAATAACCAAGACTCGTGCACTTAAGCATCTCAGATGAAGTTGAAGGCCGATGGTTTGACACGACTGTTAAACAATAGATTCTGAGGGATTATCGAATTCAGTTCAAAGAATTAATTTGCTCATAGGTGCAAGCAGCCCCGATGCCATGCCGCGTCGGCACGTGATTCCCAAGTGTTTGACGGGAAACTCGAACGTCCAGCAACGAAGACCTGCCCAAGACGTGTCCAGCAGCGTCATCGATCCAGCAACGTCATCGATGACTTTTTCAGACTTAAACGGTCACGCCTCAGACAGCATTCTCGCATACAGTTGCCAGTATCCGCATCTTGATACTAGCACACGCACCTTTTCATCAGTATACGAGAGCACTGACAACTGTCGTGAAACAAGAAATTGGATTGATTGGGGACATCTACGAAACCAGCGAGGGGAAAAGTGCCACCACGAAGTGTCAGACAAAGCCACTGCAAACCAGTCTGCAAACTGTGAAACAAACGTTGGCTTTCTGCAATTCATCCATTCAGCCTCAATGCCTCGTCGCCCTCGACTTAGTCCCTTGCGTCGCTCTGGTTGTGCAACTTGTAAATATCGTCACAGGAAATGTGACGAGCAGAAGCCGCGGTAAGCTGACAGCTTGAAAGTGAAATTCAGAACAGCAATAAAGAACTTAAACTTGTAGATGCGGAAACGGTCATAGACTCGGATTAGAATGCAAGCAGTCTGAGTTGTTTAGAGTCTCAAAGCTCCCGCGCTATGACATTGACATATTTTCGTACTTTAACTGCTCCCTGGACGCGGCCTCTCCTGAAGTCCCTGCAGGTCGTGATACACATGAGGATCACGGCCTCTTGGATAACGAGGAGGAGGATAACAACATAGGTATTGTGGGCACGGCTCCGAAAAGTACGCCGTCGATGAGTTGCATTGGTTTCTCACCATCACAGGGCGTACCACTCACATGGGAGCAGCCGCAAGCATCTTCAATGGAACATTATCTGCTACATCATTACATTTTCAATATGTCCACAGTCCTCTTCAACGTCGACAGTCCTTCAAATCCTCTCAGAAGCGTTCTTTTACCTCGCGCAGTCACTTCGCAGACATTGATGAACGCACTCTATGCCGCTTCAGCATTGCATGTCTTTGTGGGAAAACGCGACTCCGAGTTCCAAACACAGTCTTTGACCTATTACAATAAAGCAGCTTCTGCCCTCCACCATCTGGTAGCAAACTTGGGACCCCAGAGTGAACGGGCAGATTTCGAGATCCTATTATTGACTGCAGTCTACCTTTGCAAATACTAGATCATCTCTGGTGGCTCAAATGGGCGATTCCACTTGCAAGGTATCCAGAAAATGTTTGATATTAGGTTTTTCCAAGACAATATAGCTAAATTGGCACCAGAGACCGTGGCATACGTACAAAGCTTGTGAGTGAGAAGTCATTAACTTCAAATCAGAAGGCCACTAACGTTTGCTTTCAAAGCATTGCATATCACACGCACATTGCAGGTCTCACGAGGTTGGAGAAGCTGTCTTCCCCTACGACAATTGACACTGAGCAAGAATTTGAACCTGATATGGAATCACTCAATATTAAGATCGACCCGTACATGGGTGTATCTGCCAGCTTCATTTCACTGCTACATGTGGCAGCTGCAACGATTACGGTAGATCCCACGAAGCCGACCAACCTAGACATCATGATGAAAAGTGTGATCAAATTGTACACGACGTTTCTGCATTACATGATGTCCTTAACACTGATTAATTTGCTACAGATACCACAGACTCCAGTCCGATCAGGTGAAAAAACCCGTATCTTTGAGTCCGTCTGAGGAGCTCGCTATGGAAAGGATCGATTGTCTCGATCACATTGCCAACGTGTACCGAAATGCTTTCGGATTATTTTTAATATTCTTGCATTTGGCTCGCTTATAGTTATATCTCTGTGAAAATCGTAATGTTACTTCTAGATGCTGGTTAATAAATCAATAAACCTATTTCTTACTAACGCGCTTATTTCTATGTTGAAAAGTAGAAGATCAGCTATATCTTGTACGAGAGATGGCTGGGGGGGAATATATGTTTATCAAGATTAAGAATTCATTTAAGAAGGGAATCCTTCTTATATTATGTTATTTTATGGCTATTAGTGTGTCTCTCAGCTTGATATTCGATGCCAGTAAGTTGATGGTGAAGAGTAGTATATAAAATATTATAGATTTGCACAGTTTTATGAATAGTTTTAATTCTTCTATTTTTTTAAATTGGCTATTGTAAGCAGTATCTTGCCCTATTGATTGGCCAATTTTTGGCGATTTTCTGTATGATTTGGTGGTATGGTGACACGTTGAAGATTTGTGTATAGAAATATTTTAAGTATTTTGACGCGCTCTGGGGGGGGGCGGGGCTGATCCGCTCGGTGTCCTGATCCACTCGGTGTCCCGATTACGTTATAAAGCGGGTCTTAAACTTTAAAAAACGAGTATAGTTTCCTTTTAAGGGTAATATCCGCGCATCTCCCCGCTAGAAATGATAGAAGTCTTATCCACTCCGGAGTAAGTAGAGATTTCTCTAAGCCCTTTCTAGGCCCCTCTACCAGGTACGGTTACCACTAAGACAAGACTGAGCACAGCCCACCGGGATAGCGACAGAAGAGAACTAAAACTAGTGCAAGGCAGGTCCCAAACTTTAAGGCACACTGCAGTTTCTTTTTAAGGCCGATATCCGCGGGGGCATAACCGAAACGCAGTACAATTGGCTAGACAGATCTAGGTAGTGGCCCTTGCGACCCTTCGTCATGATATGATTGTCATATCCATACCTCACTCTTTCTCTCTACTAGTTCCGAGTTTTCTTTTTTACAAGTATTCCCGGTGCCCACATGTCTACCTTCAACTTCTCTTTTCCAATCCTCAAGTCCTCCTGCCCTGTTCGCTCCCTCCACAAGCAAAGCATCTCCATTCTCTGGATCTTGTAGCATTGTCCAGGAAAGAGGCTATAGACTGTCACTATGTCTGTCCCCATCAAGCGTGAAGGTGAAGGCACCAAGTGAGTTCACACCTAATCAGGGAGTAGCATGCAGAACTAATGGCTCTTTAGGACCGTCTTCACCCTGAACACTGGTGCGAAGATGCCTGGCGTTGGTCTTGGAACCTGGCAAACCAACTACAACCAAACTCGCGAAGCTGTCAAGGTTGCTCTGCAGTCCGGCTACAGGCACATTGACACGTATGTGCATTAAGATCAATCACCATCGACAGCGGACTGACATGAACCAGTGCATATGAGTATGGTAACGAGACTGAAGTTGGCGATGGCATCAAGGCATCTGGAGTGCCTCGTGAGGAAATCTGGGTCACAACCAAACTTGATAACCCGTGGCACAAGCGCGTCGAGGAAGGCCTCGCCGCTTCGCTGAAGAATCTTCAGCTCGACTATGTCGATCTCTTCCTGGTGCACTGGCCTAGCTCGACTAACCCCGAGGACTCCAGGAAACACTACGATGACTGGGATTTCACCGATACTTGGTAAGTAAGATTACCACTAACTAAAGGTGACTACTAACAGCCACCAGGGCTGAGATGCAGAAACTCCTCGAGTCCGGCAAAGTTAGGAATATCGGCGTGTCTAACTTCGTCATTTCCAACATGGAAAAGCTGCTTAACGATCCCAGGACTAAAGTCGTCCCTGCTGTCAACCAAATCGAGCTACACCCTAACATGCCCTCACACAAAACCATCGAGTACATGAAGTCCAAAAATATCCACTGCACAGGTTACTGTTGTCTGGGTTCGACAGACTCTCCGCTCGCTAAAGACAAGACCTTGCTCAAGATTGCGGAAGAGGTGGGCAGAACTCCTCAACAGGTCTTGCTGCAATGGGCACTTGCTCGAGGCACTAGCGTGATTCCTAAGTCAGTCACTTCTAGCAGGATCAAGGCCAACTTCGAGCTCGACAACTGGTCTCTTACTACTAAGCAAATCAAGGCTCTCTCGAGCATCCCCAATCGATACAAGGTCTGTGGTCAATCATGGCTGCCAGTCAAGGTCTTTTTCAACGAGGAAGGGGATGCGCCGGACAATGTTCCAAGTCATTAGATTTGTTGTCGTAAACCTATGCTTGTCAAGCGTCTAGATTGGAGTAAACTCGTCACTGAACGGCGGTTCAAATGGTATTCTGATAACGAAAGGGCAGGATGCCCGAGAGATATTCAGGATGACTGAAGTCCTAATCGATCTATAAGTAATAGTATACTCAAGGTTAAACAGTTAATTCAAGACGATAGAGTAAAACTAAATACATGGTAAACGAGTGTCCTTATATACTCTATCATCAATATAGAGATCAGAGCCATTCTCTGTTTGCTCGAACATAGCCAATATAGCCTAGCTCTGTTGTCTCTGTTCAACATATCCAGTCGGATTAGTGGGTTAACTCCAGTCCAATCCTGAATAATTGCTTACAAGAATGGTAAAAGAAGAAGTGACCAGCAAGATTGTATGTATTGAGTTCTGTATCTGTCATTCTACGTGAGGTTCCAAAGCCGGGTTTTTATAGACCTTTTGATGAGCTAGTTTGTAGAGATAACATGCGAGGTAAACATCGCAAGCTATACGAAGCTCTGATAAGAGGATGGCTTCTTATTTGCTGATGTCATGAGATGGCTGGTTGACCTTCGAAATGAACACAGTTGGTCTCTCTGCCTTGTTGGATTATCCGGATTATCTGACATATCCTTTCCTAGTGTTGGAAGCCTGATGTTAGATATCATTAGTGAAATCCGCTGAGAAGCCCAATTCGCCAAACTAGCTTACCAATCAGCAAGAAACACGTATTCAAGCGAGGGGTTTGGATTCTTCAATATAGAGGACAATTCCTAATGTAAGAAATAGAAGAAGAGGTTCAATAAATCAAGCATTGATACATATATAATTTTGTTAACAAGCCTATGTCACAAGCTCTTACACTATAAATTACAGATCCCAACAGTTAAAAGCCGCTGTCTGAGGAAAGGTTGCCACCAAGAAAACGGTATGCGTCTTTACGAAAGTTATTCAAGCCATTCTGTATGTCATCATGCAGCAAGTCACCCAAATTGCTATAAAACCCTGCGTCGTCGTCCAATCCTGGGCCATCCCCCCAAAGTAGGCTTTCTCCAGCGAATAGAGGGTTTAGACGGTCGTAAAAATCGACTGAGGGAATCTGCAAAGGATCTGTAGTCAGTGAAGCTTCAAAGCGTCTGGCGGGCGGGAGTCGGTTGCGTCAGTCGGTGTATGTGGCAAGACGCGCTCGTGTCGTTGAAGACAAAGGAACTAACGGTAACGAGCCTTTTCTGCCAACAGAGGAAAAGTTAGACATAAGTTACGAAATTCTGTATGTTTTAAGCAAACCTGTTTCAGAATTTGTTTGTACAAAACCTGGCCAGGTAGGCTCTAACCTTGACCTATACTTTGCACCATGATCATATTGTTCATGGGCCACGAGTTGCCTGGCCTTTTCGAAGTTCTTGTTGCAGTGGCGGCAGTGCGTCGATTCCACCAGAGATTACAATGCTTTATGGTGAGTTATTATGTGCTTGTTTAAATCATTTGATCTAGTGTAACGGGTGTGGCAGATGCAGCAAACGAATTGCGTTTCACTAAAAGAAAAGTCGGGGGCTTAAGTAATATTCAGGATATTCTCAACCTTAATATCGGCGTCAACAAGCTCGATGACAGTCCAGATGTTGTGCAGCGGAGATATATTCTTGTAAAGTCTCCATAGCTCGACTCAGGCGACACTCAAGCGCTTCACCCATGGTTGCACGGGGCTGGACTGGATTGACAAGCCGCCTTTTGTTGGGAGATGCTGACACGTCAGTCCATTTTCGTTTTTCACCCATAGCTATGAATTATTTTCGCAGAAGGAGCAGGTATTAAAGGGAACAGTGCGTCGAACCGAATAGACTTAGGGAAGAAACACCTGGGCTCTAATACTACCTTTTACGGGATTGATTAACACCTAAATTGGGTATAATGCTTCTGGACACTACTAACATCAAAAAACTAACCCTAATGATTTTTAATAACTCAGCGCGGTGGAATGAACCGCCAAAGCCAATCCGAATTAAAACTGCGAGATGCCCAGTGTCTCAATTATATCTAGACGAAGTTTGAATGGTAACCCTATAGTAAATATGGATGTTGGGATAACCGCCAATAAATAAATGGCGGTTATATCACCAACATTATGCATTGGAGTTAGGAAAAAGTGACAAGAAAAAGAAATGTTCAAGACATAAAGTACGGACTAGAGCAGTTTTTTGCAGCTGATACAGCTTTTCCTCTCGAAAACGAGACCATGACCACAGTGTATGTAATGTAGGACAAATAGCGTATTGGAGCCCTTTAGGCTTAGTGCCTCCGGACGTAATAAATTTACTACTACTACTACAGGAATCATGCGTACTAACAGGAACTAATAGTGCCTGCTTAATATACTACCATCTTTGTTTCTAGGTTAAGGGCCAGGGTAGCGGGGCTGCACAGATCTCGGCTTCCAGACCTACCTAATATGGAGGAATCCCGGCACTAGTGTTCTTGGTGAACCCTGCACGCCCAAATTTTTAAGCTAACCCTAAAGGAGTCAAAGCTACGCCAGCTTATGTCCTCGAGCATTCGATCTGTCTCAGCTTGACAACTGGGCCAGTAGATCTTGTAAGACATTGCTAGGGTTTCCCAACCAGAAGGGAGAGCCAAGCAGAATCTCTATATAAGTCGAATGTCCCCTCACCAATTGCGAAAATACATCCACTTATCACTGCCCACCTCGCTTCGACAATTTCAAAGCACCATGGCGTTCCATCCGTTACGAGATCTCACTGCAAGTGAGATCAAGCAAGCGGCAAGCCTGATCAGGCAGTTGCATAGAGACCATGAACTTGTTTTCAAAGCTATCACCCTCGAAGAGCCGCAAAAGGACTTGGTTCTCGACTATTTCAGAGCAGAGAAGAATGGCACGCCTCTACCTGCGGTCCCTCGTGTCGTATTTGCGGCATATTACTTTAAAGACACCGTACGTCAAAACTCATGTGCGCAAACTTAGGTTGTGTGAAACTGACACAACTACTTACAGGACCGCTTTATTACCACTCATGTCAACCTCACTGACAACGCGATTGAGCGGACGGAAAGAATGAGCCCGAAGTTCCACGGAAATGTTGATTTCCATGAGGTTGAGGCTGTCGAGGAGTTGACCCTTAAAGATCCAACAGTCATCGCCGAGATTGCCAAGTTGAAGCTTCCAGATCACCTCTGCGTCATTGCTGAAGCATGGATCTTTGGATCCGATGGCGTGGTGGACCACGACCGGCAATATCAGGTGTACATGTTCGTCGGAGAGAAAAGCAACCTTGACAGCAACCACTACGCTCGACCACTCGCTTTCTCTCCAGTCGTGGACACCGCGCGTATGAGGGTTACTCGAATTGACTACATCCCGACAGGTAATACCCACACGGCCCACGAGACAAAGCCTTGGGAATACACGAAACCCAACGAATATGTGCCTGAAGCTTTGAACATACGCAAGGACCTGAAGCCCCTTCGGGTCTTGCAACCAGAGGGGACATCATATTCGATTGACTCGGAGAATGTGCTGCAATGGCAAAAATGGCATATGAGGGTTTGCTTCAACTATCGCGAAGGTGTCCATCTGCGAGACGTTTGCTACGACGGTCGACCCGTGTTCTACCGTGTCAGTTTGAGTGAGATGACGGTGCCTTATGCCGATCCGAGATCTCCTTATCATCGAAAGCAGGCGTTCGATCTGGGAGACATTGGAGCTGGTCTTGTTGCCAATAATCTGGCACTTGGCTGTGACTGTCTTGGATCCATCACTTATCTCGACGGCTTGGTGACCAGTCCATCCGGAGAGCCGTTGGTGAAGAAAAATGCCATCTGCATCCACGAACAGGATAATGGCATCGGTTGGAAGCACACAAACTACAGGACCGAGCGTGAGTGTTTTTGAAATTCTCATCAGCACGGCTGCCCATGCTAAGAGGCTGTGATATAGGTTCTTGTGTAGTCCGCAATCGTGAACTTGTGATTCAGCAGATTCTGACTGTGTCGAATTATGAGTGGGTAGCGTCCTTTGCTTTGCACACGCTGTGCGGCAGCATACTAACACTTCGATACTACTTAGATATATACTTGCCTATATCTTCAACCAAGCTGGCGAAATGCACTACGAAGTCCGCGCTACCGGCATCTTGTCCACTGCTGCCATCGACTCAGGCGATTCGGCTCCTTGGGGCACTGTGGTCCATGATGGCGTTCTGGCTCAGCACCACCAGCATTTGCTCTCTCTCCGAATTGATCCAGCCATCGGTAGCTATGAAACTGGCAACCGCTTGGCTTACTCCGAGTGCTACACCCTGCCCATGGATGATTTCAACCCGCACGGCAACGGTTACATCTCGAAGACGACCGTTGTGGACAAGCCGGGCGGTCTGGACCTGGACGCTTCTAAGAATCGGGTTTTCATGATACAGAATGACCAGATTCGCAACGCGGTCAACCACCTGCCCATCTCCTACAAGATCCAAGTGCCGCCTATGCAAGGAATTATGGCCCATAAAGACAGCTTCCATTTCAAGCGAGCGGAATTTGCCGACCATAGCATCTATTTGACAAAGTACGGCCATGATGAACTCTTCAGTGGCGGCAAGTACACAAACCAAAGTAAGCAACGCACTCTCTGTTTTGGTTCTTGGAGATACAGTGCAAATCTCTAACCTTTCTCTAGGCCGAGGCGGTGGTGGCATTAAGACCTGGGCTGCCCGCCACGACAACGTTGTTGACAACGACATCGTTGTGTGGGTTCAATTCGGCATGAACCATGTGCCTAGAATCGAGGATTTTCCCGTCATGTAAGTACTATCTGACTATCGCCGTGGTCACTGACTACTATTCCTGGCAATGGTCGCTGACGCGGCTCCCAGGCCGGTGGAGATTATGAAAGTTGGGTTCAAGCCAGTCAACTTCTTCACGAAGAATCCCTCGATCGACGTGCCACCTTCACGGCAAGAAGTCAATCAATCCAAGATGGTACCACCAAGTGAAACTTCAATCTGCTGCAATGGGACGGACTCGAAGCTGTGAGAGCATTGGTACCAAATACAGTCTACAGGATGGGTAGAGTGTGGCCAACATGTCTACATACGGCGTACGACCGTATTCTTTTGAGATAGACGAATTTGAGGAGTATATAAGAATCGTTTTCCACCAATCTGAATTTGATGCTTATACTAGTAGTATAGTAAGTAACATAAAAAGTGGCTTAAACCGCCAGGAACTCGCATTACTCGGACCCGTCTTCTAGTATTATGGCCACGATGGAGTTATTGACGGCTGATTAATACTGGTGATAGCATTCGACGCGGATACAGCAATATTAGATAACCCTTGTCCCTTTAGAAGGGCCATGGATCTCCCATCTCGAACTTGGACAAAAATGTGCGTATCCTCACTATACTGTTAGTGGTATCTCCAAATCAGTCCCACCGGATGTTGATTCTGTCCTAGCTCTGAATTACATCCATCACAGTTTCTTACGAACTAGTACTACTAGCACTATGGGCGCGGCGGCCTTGCAATGATGACGCTCCCACTACCCTTCAATTGGAAGCTACCCGCACCGTATGGAACAACAATGGTGTTGCCCTTGCGTAGGGCTAGAGCTGCACTTCCCCCGGCGGTGGTCGTCATCTGCAGGTTGTCGCCTTCGAAGACGATGATGATGGCGAATCCCGGTGCAAACGACTCGGGCGAAGCCGAACCCACCACGTTATGCCGCTCAACCGTGAAATACTCCCCGGTGTGGTGACTAGCAAGAGGACCCTCGGTATCAGGATCTGTGATCAGAGCCGCGATGTCCTCATTAGTTCTCCCCGAGGTCTCGACTGCGGTCAAGGCCACATCAAACCCCAGCCCGAGGTGACCGTCCTTCGAGCCGTCGATGGCATAGTCGCGCCACTCACAGAATACCGACAGGTCGGACGGCTCCTGAACCTCGGCGATCAGCATGCCCTCTCCAATGGCATGAAGCACACCCGGAGGGATGTACACGGCCTGATGGCGCTTCAGAGGCACCTCGTGCATCAGCGCCACCAATGTCTCGACATCCTGCGCATCGACCAGAGCCCGGAGTCGCTCTTGCGTGATCGATTCTCGCAAACCCACGCGCATCACACCTGGTTCCAGCACGTACCACAACTCCGCTTTGCCGTAGGCGGTGCCAAGGTGGCGTTTGGCCCAGTCCCGGTGCGGATGCGCATGGACCGGTAGCCGCTGGCCGGCGTCGAGCAGTTTGACGAGTATCCTGGTGCTGCTGCCAAACGCCTCGACGTGGTCGGGCCCGAGCCACTGTTCGGCATGGCTCTGGATTTCATCCACCAGTATCCTGCCGTTGTCCAGCTTGGTCAAACCAAGCGTATCCTGTCCGTAGCAGCAGGTCGTCGATGCCACCCAGTCCTCGGGGTCGTATTCGCCACACGGTTGTGTCGACTCGGAGCGAAAAGCGGTAATTTGCGCACCACCGCGATAGAATCGATTTGCGGGCTGATTTGCCGGGAGAATCATCGGCTGCATCATGATGAGATGGGAGCCAATCAAGGCTTGACGCGATCGAGAAATATACTCGGCGTTCTGGTAGGATCTCAAGGGGACCAGAGGTTCCAAAAGGTGTAGTAATATTGTATGAGGACGGGCGCGTAGTGGTATTGCCCAGCGATGAGCCAGTGAAAAGGGTTTTGCAAACTTATATAGCCTTAGGTATACTTAGTAATGGCTGAGAGTCTCCAGGAATACTATCGTGAAAAGTTTCTCCTATTATTTAACTTATACCAACCAAGAGTGGTGGATCCTGAAAAACACCTGCAGGCCATACGGCCCATAGCATTGTGCATAATCTGAAGCATAGCCTGGTCTTGTTCCAGAACGAAACGTTTGTCGGACTAATAAATGCGATCTCTCACTACTAGTACTAGTGGTAGCTAGTATGTCGCCCGGATAGACTCCTAGTTCGGCCTAACCTATTGTTGAGAAAAGTACGCACAGGCTCCACTTTCCCAAAAAGCCCGCTATCCGCAGTCACCGGCCCTTACCCTCCTACGTAGTTGGCACTGCTTAGTCTTGACTTAGTGGTAACAGTGCCTGGTAGAAGGGCCCGGGGAGGGTTTGCGAGGTCACTAATTGGGTAAGACTCCCAATATTTCTGGCGCGGAGATGCCTCCATCGTGTGGGAATCCGATTTCTACGCGATCGGCGGCATGGTTCATTGCACGTTGTCATTTGCTGTACAACGAACGTGAATGCATACGGGGAAGATGCGGATGGCGCTCGCTTGTGTCTAGAGCTTGTATGGAGATCTTGAAGGGAAATCAAGGTCGCTGCTGCTCATGCTTTTTTCCTCAGTACTCAACTTCACGTTGCTGACGTGATCTCCGACCTAAAATTTCCGTCTCAGCATCAAAAGAGGGTGAACGCGTGACTTCTGCACTGTCCTGCCTGAGATTGATCACTGATGCAGAGTTTCTCGACCGCAGCAGAGCTTCGTTCCATCATGCATGGCGTCGTCGGCGGAGCAGGAGAGCTGCCAGTGCTATGCGCATCTTGACGGATGCTTGCCACTATGTGTGTCATGGCCATGGCACAGGTGTGAGGAATTGAAATATTATTGCAGATAGGTAGAGTCTTGTAGTTGGGTCGTGAGGGCTAAAGTATCCTTATCTGACTTAGTTTGTTGGTCCAATAGGATTATAGATGAGCTAGTCCCATGATTCAATCGGCCTCCCCCACTTCCAATAATTAGTAGAGATAAGTCCAGTACACTCCTCCCTGGCAGCCCTCACTCTCCAGATTATTCTTTCAAATGTCCTTAGGCACTCGGCCTTGCACACCTTATACAACTAATACCACGGTTTTGCTCCGCGCCCTGACATATTAACGACTCAACCCCATCATCTACCATCTCCCCCACGACTTGATCTCTTATGAGCCGCCAGAGCCCGCAATTGTGCCTCGGCTCCACACCCAAGCCTAACCCCTACGGCAGAAACAACCTCTCCAGGAGTCTCACTGTGCTCTGAGCTTATGGGTCGATCAAGTAAGTACAAGGTGCGCTTTGCCTCGTCAGCGACGCCGTACCCTGCGTTGCCTCGGAAGCCGCGCGGCAGGATTCCACAAATCGACGAGCAGCCAGCTCAAACATCTCGCAGCCGTCTAGCATGCCATGGCTGTCGCATCCGGCACATCAAGTGCGACGAGAGATTTCCCGTGTGTACACAATGCAGGGCAAAAGGTCTGGTGTGTATGCCCAGAGGCCGTCCAACCCAGTGGCGGATCGAAACTCCCTGGCTTCGGTCCCGCTCCTTGCTCGCCATGCCGGCACTGAACCCAAGGCTGCTGCAGTACTGGCTGGAAAATGCGAGCCACATGATGACGCTGGACCTCGACAACAACCCCATGTCCTTTCCTATCGTAGGACAGCTACTGGAATCCGAATCTCTGGTACATGTCCTACAGAGCGTCAGCGCGGCCTATGAAGTATTCTATGACCCTCCTAGCATCCACGAATCCCTGGTAGAAAGGTCCAAAGCTCTACAAACTCTCGGCCAGGAGCTTCGAGCCCAGACAACGATCCGCCCTCAGACCTTTCTCGCCGTCTACATGCTCGGCGTGTCATCGCCATGGATTGACTACAGTCCCAGCGCTTTCGGCCAAGAGCACCTCCTGGCGGCCAGAAGCATTCTTGATGAACTGTTACGGCAGCAAGATTTCGTGGACCATCCCTACCGATCCTTCATAATAGCAGCTTTCATCTGGTGGGACATGTCGTGTTCGCTGCTGGTCAGCCCTGACGAACAAAAACCCCTGGATACGCCCGAGATCGACGCTGCTGTGACTTCTCTTCAGGGCCGATTCTGCGCCATACTCAGCCATGCGATCGAACTGGTTTACGAGCTTGGCCGTCTAGGCCGTTACTGCCGAATGGTCTGCGACCTCCAAATCCGGGATCTGGCGCTCGAAGACGCCTTTGAGTCACGACTTCTGGCCTGGGAACATTCGAGTCAAGTTGAACCTCTGAGGACACTGAATGAGACCTTCCGACTACACGGACTGGTTATGCTCTATAGGCTGTGTAATCGAACCAGCCCGGTCGCAGAAACAGAAGACTATATTCGCGAGTGCATCCTCTCGATGCTCCAGAACATCTCTCAGATCAGAACCCATAGCCCGGTTTTTAAGTTCATCCATATCCCTTTACTCAACGCAGCAGCAGAATTGACTGCCGAAGATGAGTCTTTACGCAAACAGGTTCTGGATTGGTGTGCGGTCTTATATTCCACCAACCGTTCTCCCATAAACACTTGGACCGTCGAGCTACTGCAGAGTCATTGGGGGCTGAAAGATGCGGGAGACCGAAGCTCATGGCTACATCTGATGCTGCAAAAAGGTTGGCGTCTAAACTTAGGCTGAGCCACAGCGCGAACAGTACTAACAACGTGGCTTATGTTACTTCAAACTATTTACTGTAAAGTATTCCTGAACAAAGGGACGCGGCCGCAGTCTTGAAACGGAAGACCGCTGAGATTTAACTTGTAAGCCATCAATATTATCTGCAAGCACACGAGGCTTTACTATCTGCTAGTCAAGGTACTACCCATTGCCAGACCCTAGCAATTCTTCCGCACTATCGAGGTTGGAATTACGACGCACCTGTATTCTCCCTATTCCTGAACGAAAAGGTCCACAAGAGAATAATGTTTATGACCATAAAGTACCCAGTAGAACCCAGCGTAAGCGAACGCCACAATCACCACGACCGACAGATAGTTCATGTTGTTGGCCTGCACAGGCAGAAAATAGGGGAAACTGTAAATGACGGTGGTTAGAAGCGTCCATGTGATGAGCACGATGTTGGCTATAGGGCCGAATCTGGGCCACCAGAATGGTCCGTGAGGAAGATTCTTTCGGCCTTTGATGAGCAAGAGGACGGCGGGCAAGGAGTATGTCATGTTCTGAAGGACGATGCCGGACGAGATGAAGGCATTGAATGCAGTCAAAGAGCCGAGATATAGGAATCCACACAGTGTTATCCAACACACGCCCCAGAGAATGGCCCACAAAGGGGTGTGGAAGGGGGCCGGCGCCAGTTTCTGTAGATGGGAGTGGAAGGGAAAGCCTTTGTCACGGCTCAGAGACCAAGCTATGCGCGAATGCCACGTGTGGACACCAATGACTGCTCCCCATGAGAGGACCAAGATCATGGCGCCTATCACGTACGCACATATAGGATTACCATTATACACTGTGTAGAGCAACTCCAGTATCGACGTCGTTTTAGAGAGGTCGGTCGCGGCGAAGAATATAGCCAGATTGATCGCGAGGCCGCTGCATAGTCCGATGACAATGGTGTAAAGGAGTGCTTTCGGTACGTTTTTCCGTGGCTCCGGTATCTCTTCGGCCAGATGGGTGGCTGCATCGAGACACGAGAAGCCCCAGTTTATGCCACTGATTCCGATGAGACAGGCGAGACCGTCGGGCCAGCCTGATAGATTGAAGTATCCGTCTGCGCCAAACACCACTGCTGCAGACTGCTTCTCCGTATTCGGGGCCAACAGGCAGACGACTATTGTTATCATCGTGACCACCGAGAAATACATAAAGGTCTTTGACATTGCTGGCAGCGCGCGCTCACACACCACCATGATTGCGGCAGTCCAGGTGTAGCATTGAAAGGTCAAAAATCCCATCCATTGCTTGTACACAAAATCAGGCTTTGTCAAGGAGACGAGGGCGAAGGTCGTGTTTGTCGCTCCGGCGGCGCCCGACGCGCCGATACAGATGACTGAGGCCCAAGAGATGATTGCCGTCATATAAGACAGGAAGCGGCGGGATCGCTCTGGTGCCAGCTGGGCCGTCCAGAAGTACTGCCCGCCGGCATGAGGGTAGGCCGAGGCCAACTCGCCAAGGGTGATGGCGACACATAATGAGATACAAAATATGAAGCAGATTCCATAGATGAACAACGGACCAGCTCCGAAGACGGCGTTGCTGACTATAAGCACCATGCCCAAGCCCGTGTTGGTGATCGAGTATCCCATCGACATGGCGGACAAAGTGGTGAATGGCTTCTTCTGGGGCTTCACCAAGTGGACAACCTCCCCGGATTCGACACTGTGGAGGGGCAAAGCCTGGGTGGAATGTTGTTTCTCCGTTGTGGCGTGGATCTCCAGTTCTGCCACACGCGTGGTAGGCGCGGTAGTTTCTGCCATGGTGTCGTGCGCGGGAGGATTGCAGCACAATCAATTGAAAAAGGGAGCGTAAGGCCTCTCGTGAAGGATGCTGAGGCCTATTTAAACCATCTTACGGACATACATCGTATTCTGCCTGCGCCAATTTTACCCATGTCATGGGAGCTCATTTTCAAGATTCAGGCATATTAGATCTTCGTCGCCTCCCATATCTGTGCCTTTCCTCGTTCGGGAGGTTTCCGCAAAGACCCACCCTCGCTCAACTTAGTCATCCATCGGGGCATCCGGTCTGGGGAATCGTTGGAGCGTATAGTTTGCACCGACAGTGCACGGTTCAGGTGCAATAACTGGATAATTATTTCACTGACACTCTGGCCTGGGGTCTGTGCACTATGTAGGTTTAACATTTCTACTGAAATGTATTACACAGAAAATTTCTTATCTGTAAAAATTCACCCGTTAAACTATTTACAAATTATGTTGATATACGCGGCGTATATCTCCTAGCCATTTATTAGCCATCTTAAAATGATTCAAAATCATCTTTAGAAATAGTTACTAAATGATTTTCAATCACTTACACAGTCTTAGAGAAAGACAGGCACCATGATTGTAAACCTGTGATTAAGGTGGTTAGATAGGGGAAGGAAAGAAGCTAAAAAAGATACATAACCGTTTTGAAATTGATTTATATTGATAAGGTGCGACATACACGGTTCAGGTGCCGCGATCAGTAAAAGCCGGCGCAAAGTTCCTCTAAGAGCGCGCTATTGCACCTGAACCGTGCACTGTCGTGCCAAACTGTATCCTGGAATCGTTGGAAGGCGGCTGCCCGACCTCGGTTCTAGAGGCCCAGCTTCCTCTCTGGGAGGACATCCGGGATGAAGTAAAACACGGATTACGATCCTTCCCAGGATTCACGTTAATATCGACTATTATGAAGCGGGCTCTAGTGATGATAATGTTCGTCTATCCACGCATGCAGGCCAGAGAAGGTAACTTCTCTCGCGGCACCCAGCTGATGCGAGTCCCTAGCTCCATATGCTTTGTTCCGTTCAGTGGGCACGAACCATTGGGAGGCAGGCATGGCACCCACCAAACGCCACACGGATTGTAGATAGTGTTCGTACTATCGGATGTCAAATTGGAGGCCTTGGCTAGCAAAGAGCCGCGTAAACCCCGGCGCCGAAAACCGGTTCCTTATTTGTGAGACAACTTGAATAGTTGCCGCTTTTGTATGTGTTCCGTTGTCGCTCGTGGCAAACCTCGTTTGGAGACTTCACAGATTCCAGATTGCAAGCTCCATTCTCCTAGCACTGACGAAGGATCGATCGATGCTAGTGCCGGAATGACAAGATATAGGAGGCAAGTAGTACTACAGCTAATCACGACATTCCTCTTTGATTCATCCGCTAGACATTACGAGGACTGACCGGTTGAGTGCGACCCATGTACACGGCAATGACTACGCGGCAGTGTAGCCGCTCTTATATAACCAGGTACTAAGTAGCTACGCTTTTGAGACGACGACGAAGACCCGGCACCTTCTAACCCTCTCTTCCACTTGAACTGAAAAATGACCAACACTATTGTCTGCGATGCATTGGTCGTAGGTGCAGGCATAGGCGGCATCTACCAAACCTTCAAACTTCACGAGTTAGGCCTGAAGACAGTATGCATCGACAGGGCCCCGGAAGTCGGGGGAACGTGGTACTGGAATCACTACCCGGGTGCCATGAGTGACACCGAGAGCTATCTCTATCGCTATTCGTGGGACAAAGAGGACTTGCGCACCTACACATGGCAGACACGCTATCTATACCAACCTGAAATCCTCAAATACCTCAATCACGTCGTGGAGAGGCACGGCCTGCGCAAGCACCTCAGACTGAGCACGTTGATGGAAACAGCAACCTGGGTCGAGAGGGAACAAAGATGGAGAGTCGAGTGTGGTACAGGGGTTGTGTTCAGCGCTCGGTATCTTGTCAATGCTCTTGGGATCCTTTCAGAGCCTAACATTCCCAACATTCCAGGTATTGAGAGCTTCAGTGGCCACCTCATTCATACTGCAGCCTGGCCTGATATCGACCTCTGCAGTAAACGCGTGGGAGTCATTGGCAACGGATCGACTGGCATCCAGCTTATGACCGCTCTCGCTCCAAAGGTGAAGAGGCTTGTCTCCTTCCAGAGAAGTCCCCAGTACTCGGTTCCGAGCGGCCAAGGACCTGTTTCCAAAGAAGACCGAGACTGGATCAACGAAAATTACGACAACATCTACGATGCTGTCTGGAAATCTAAAAATGGCCATGGAATTCCTGAGGTCACCCGTCCTACTATGTCTGTCTCCGCGGACGAGAGACAAAAGATCTTCCAAGAGTGCTGGGATAAGGGTAACGCATTCCGGTTTATGTTTAGTACATTTGGAGATCTTACCACGAGCGTGGAATCAAACCAGGAGGCCTGCAAATTCATCCACTCCAAGATCGACGAGGTTGTCAAGGACCCCAGGAAGGCAGAAGCTCTTAAACCTACAGAGCTATATGCTAGACGCCCATTGTGCGATACCGGTTATTATCAGATCTTCAACCGTGACAATGTTGATGTCGTCAGTCTACGAAGGAATCCCCTCAAGGAGATTGTGCCCAGCGGGATCAAGCTTAGCGACAATACCACGATTGAACTCGATGCTCTGATTCTGGCCACCGGATTTGATGCCCTGGAAGGCAGCTATTTGCGGGTCTGCATCAAAGGCCAAGAGGGCCGGACGCTCAAGGATCACTGGAGAGGTGGCGCCAGCGCATACTTGGGCGTGGCCTGCGCGGGATTTCCCAACATGTTCCTGATTTCTGGGCCTCAAGGTGCCTTCGCAAACTTCCCCTGTGCAATTGAGGCCGAGGCCAACTTCATTACAGAGTGCATCGCACACGCGGAGAAACAGGCGGCAAGAAGCACATCAGGTGCAGTGCCTGCGTCAATTGCAGTGAAACCACCGGCAGAGCAAGAGTGGCTCAGTTTGTGTGACAAACTCACTCAAGGTTCCCTTTTCAAGACAGCAAAAAGCTGGATCTTCGGTGAGAATGTTGATGGAAGGTCACCTAAGGTCAAGTTTTACTTTGGAGGTCTGGCTGAGTATATTGCCCGAACGAAGGAAGAAGTCCAAGCAGGATTCCCATCTTTTTTCGTCAACGAGGCTGGCCTCACCCTCACCAACGGGGTGGGTGATGAGCTTGAGCAGAGGCTGTGAGGGTGGAGCATCGTTGAACAATAGATCCTTATATTGATCTGAATCGCATTCCTTTGTTATCGCATATGAAGTAGTATCAGTTGTTAGAGAAAAATCGAGCAAAATAATCTCTTCGTGGACATACATCAATAGTGGAAATATATGGGAGCCAGATACCGTTCCATGACCTCTTTGCAAGCCGGTTTATAATTTCAACCATTACATGACCGTTACACAACCAAAACCAGTCATGCAACCGTAAATTTCCTGATACATTACAGATTTCTTAACGTCAAGATATTTTGATATGTTATATAAAATATCTATATATTAAATTATAATTTATTACTAATTTTCATCACTTTCTCAAAATTGTCACGGGCTGAGCCCGAGATTGGAGTTCTCGAACCGCACATACGTTGTTCTCGACAGAATGGCATTCTTACAGGAGTTTTAATTATCCCGAAGGAATCACTATTAATCCGAAACTATTAGTCCGAAAGGGGTGGAGCGCTCTAGCAAAGGATAGGATATAAAAGAGTCTCCAAGGCCCTAGCAGAGTAGAGCTTCCTTTCCCTTCTCCTTCTCATCGAATTCTCTTTGTATATACAGCTCCTGATATTTTGCATCAGCAGCTCTAAGCCGTCATAAATTTTATAATTCTGTCAAAATTTTTATAACGTTTAAAGCTTATAATCATCATACAACTATATATTTTATATAGAGTATTATTACACAGATTTTTCTAAGATGATAACCCACAAAACAACGTATCAACCCTCACTTAACGCGTCTTCTCATATAAATACCAAGACCACCCTCTTATATATACCGTATATATATAATCAAGCTTCCCACCCACGTCAACCCCCCCACACCTGCAACGGGGCAAGATCAGGAAGAAAACTTCTGGCATAGAAAACTAACAACACGTGAGCTGAAGAAAAGAACCATCAACATGAAGAGCAAGCCCGTATTCATGCCTGCGCGGGCTTACTCCAAAGCATAATTCTGGACGGGGCATGCCTCCTAATAGGTACAAAGATCTAACAACGAAGCATACAAAAAAAAAATCAACAAGGCCCTCCGTGAGGCTGAAGACGTGACACTCATAGAACAAAGATCCTCCAGGGATTCCTTTTTGTTGTAAAACCTTACCGCCTTTGCCTGGTGAACGGTGTTAACCTGGTTTGGGGCTGGAACCGTGACAACACCAGCCTAGACCTCGCTGTAGCTTTCTGAGTACATACAATCCCATTTATATAGCCTAACTAACCAGCTTACAGGCTTCTCACACACGCGCGCGCGCAGGCCTCACTTGCTTCCTAAATACGCTGTTAGATCCCCTTTATAAGACCTCACTAACCAGCTTACAGGCTCCTCACACGCACACACACGCGCAGGCTGGTGATTAGTCTCAAGTACGCTCTCAACGGCCGCGAGACCAAGGCCATCGTCATGCAGCGCCTCGTCAAGGTCGACGGCAAGGTCCGCACCGACCCAACCTACCCTGCTGGCTTCATTCACGCACACACACGCGCAGGCTTTGCTGCAGGCCTCGCTTGCTTCCTAAGTATGCTGTCAGATCCTCCTTATGAGACCTCACTAACCGGCTTGCAAGCTTCTCAATTTATAATTAGAATACCAAAAATACAAGTGATTTCTATATGAATTGTAATCTAATTTATAATACATTGGCCACTGAAAACAGTTTGCGATTAAAACGTGGTTTGCAACTAGAAGCAACTTGCAACTCTCAATCATTCTGCCACTATTTACAATTTGCAACTATCGATATTTTTGATACATAGCGAGATGTTACTACACTAATAAATTATAAGTGTAGCAACATTTGTAAAGGTCAGGTATGTATAACTGTTTGCAAGAGTTAAAAGCCACGAAAACGTTGCAGTAACGTCACCAATGGTATCCGGGACCCTGCATTTTCCGAGATTGATATCTGTAAACTATACTATCTGGACCTAGAACTGAGTAATCCTCTCGCTGTCAATAAAGACGGCGACGTTCCAGAAGTCAGTGCTAAGAACATAGTCTATCGTCGTTCCCTTGGTGATATATATACAGTCACCCTTGGTGAGTCTAAAGCTGTCTCCCCCGTCGATCTTGAAGTCGCCCCATCCTTCCGTAACATAGAAGAACTCATCGCAAGGATACGTGAGTGACCCCGTGCCGCTTTCCAGGGCGGTGCCAGCAGCGATCTTGCCGTCGGACGAGCGGTAAATGACTGATTTGTGGCCTCCATACTGGGGATACAACTCCCTCGGGAAGGATCTGTGGTTACCATAGGGGATTTTTGCGGCATCGGAAGAGCCAGTGAGATTCGGCACCGAGGGAGGCATGCTGGGGTGTGGATTGGATGTAATCTAGTAGGTGGAAGAAAAGTGAGGACATAGTTGGTGGTCAAGACCCGAATGGTCACGTACCTGGTAGATATGATGGTTATGCTAGGTGACACTGAATATCATGGGTCGTTGATAGTGAGGAGCGTCTTTTATCTTCATCAATAATGCTGTCAGAGTTGTAACTTGTTTGGCAGGATCCAACTTGAACTAGTCGTACCCCAGGGTTAGGGCCGGAACGGTTTCGCAACAGGAAGGTCACTGGTAGGCCTTAGCAATTATTAGCGCTCCTCCACCTTTTTAGATATGTCTCTATCCGTCTCTACATTGTTTCTAGAAACATACGCAGCCCTTGTAATTAGCACTTGTTTTGCTCCACGCTACATCCTAACCCGTTAATATCGCACTACTCAGTGGTCATTACTGTGGAACCTGCTCAGTTCCACACCCCCACACCAGTCGCGCATCTGCAGAGTCTAGTACCCCGGCTATTAGACTGAAGGAGACATCCCATTTGAGCCTGTATCCGGGAGCACGCGTCCGCCCGATCATACGATAGCAAAAGCAACAGTAGCTGCCCGCTTAATGTACTGCCACCGCTATTTCTGAGATGAGGCCTTGGACGGTCGGGCTGCACCGATCTTGGCTTTAAGAATGCGCCCAACCTCAATCGACATCTTTACATTCGAGTTCTTGTTCAATTGAGCCTTCGTCTCTCTCGCTATTGTCTAGGAAGATGACAACTATAACTGCCGACGGCTACCAGTATTCCCCCAAGTCTGGGCTGGTGTTTGGATTGCCGACGAAAGCATGTGTTTCGCCCCCGGCACGCAACAACAAGTCGGACAAGCTTTACGATGTGATCGTTGTTGGCGCTGGGTACACTGGCCTTATTGCGTGTAGAGAGTTGGCCTTACGAGGTATGGAACAAGACCATTAACTACTTTCTCGAAAGCCAATGTGAGGTCAACTAACGTCTCTTCCAAGGTCATAATGTTTTACTCATCGAGGCACGCGATCGGATCGGAGGTCGAACTTTCAGTGCTGAATTCGATGGCCAACATTGGGATATCGGTGGCACCTGGGTGCACTGGACTATGCCTTTTGTTTTCAACGAGATAACTCGCTATGGCCTGGTGGAACAACTCCAGATGAGGAAGATGGTCAATGACTCGAAGCCCTACCTTACCCTCAGGCTTGAAGATGGTCGTCTCATCAATCTGTCGCCAGAGGAAGATGTACTGCTTGTCCATGACTATTTCGTTGGAGACTACTATCACTGACATGCCTACTAGACTCGCACAAGGGCAAAGGCCCTGACAACCTTTTTTAACGTTGATGGCGCGCAGGGCCACCTCGTTATGCCGAATCCTCACCGCCACGATTTTAACAAGCAGGCATTTTACCAGTTCAGTCGGTTGTCTGTCAAAGAACGTATGGACCAGGTAAGGTCCGAGCTAACGGACGTCGAAATGGCGTATTTAGCAGCAACATGTATCAACTGGTGCGGGATGGATTTGGCCAAAGCGTCCTTCTTCGACTGTATGCGTTGGTGGTCCCTTGCTGGCTATCATCCCGACGGGATCACCCACTGCGCTTACAGCTACAAGCTTGAGTGTGGTCAGACCGGGTTGGCCCGTGCAATCTTCGCGGACGTTTGTTCTTTTCCTAACGTTGCCTACACCTTTAAAAATCCCATCTCCAAGATATCGCGCGCGAACGGCATGGTCAAGGTACACACGCTGAGCCATGAGTGCTACAGCGCGAAGCAATTGATCTGCACCATTCCCTGGGCCGTGCTTGACACCATCTCGTTTGAGCCTGCCCTGCCAGCCAGCATGCAGACTTGTATTGCCAATGTAAATATGGGCAATTCCACGAAGATTTACGCCGAGGTAGCGGGTCAGGAGTGGGATGCTTGGAGCTACCTGGCACCACCGGGAAACCCGCAAAGATCGCTCGGATTTGCTGCATCCGTGGGAAGTACTCCCAGCGGGAACTCCAGGATGGTTTTGTTCGGCCTTAGGGATGAGCTGAACAGAGAATTGTTTCCCGACGAAGACCCCGAAGAAACAATGGCTGCTCTCAAGAGGACTAACCCAGAGCTGGACGTACAAAGACTGGTAAGAGCCAACTGGCCCCTACGCTCCCTCTCCCCTCTCTTTCCCATTGTAAAGTTTGCTGACGAACCATTTTACCCTTACTATAGGTCTGGCACAACTGGACCAAGGACCAATATGCGAAAGGTGTCTGGGTCATGTTCCGTACTGCCGAGGCTGAGAAGAGACTACCAATTCTTCGCGAGTCCGTTGGCCCCATCCATTTCGCCAATGCCGATTGGGCCCACGGGTGGAGAGGGTATATTGATGGGGCTGTCGAGCAGGGAATTGATGCTTCTGGGAAGGTTCGGAAGCTGCTCGGAGCCGACACTGGGATACTTAGGGCGTCTATGTGAGTAGCAGATATTGCAATACAATATCTACTAAGTGCTATTATCCATTGCTTGGAATCAGACTCGGAATTACTGCTCGCAGCATCCTATTGGTAGTAGTAATCTTACAATCTTTTTCGCACGATGTACACAAGATTGCTGACGAAAAAGTGCTCCCTTCGCTCCGGAGGATAAACCCTGTCCCTGTCATGGACTTCCGTGACCATGATAGGATATCCGTATAAATGGCAACGGTTTTGGCCAACCTAAGAAATTTTTGAAAATTGCCAAGTCATTAAGGCCCATTTAGGAAAGGCGTAGTGGGTCGTAGATGAGTCTGCCAAGCAGCGATCTGGTCAATAAAAAGCAGTGTTACGAAACCAACATATGCAAGGCTAAGGACAGATTAGGATGACTTAGGCTACTTCAGGGTAAGTGTCTTTTAAAGCGGTTAATATCATAGCTAACTAATTATTATAACTGAGTACTATCTATTTGTTATTTATATAGAATTATATCTTACATAAATATCTATATTTAATATATAATAAAGAGTGTAGAAAAAGTATAAAAAGAATAGAAAGATAATTAAATATATTTTTAATATATATAAATTAATATTTTAGTTTAGTCTTAGTACTTCATTATTTATAATAATACTAAAAATTAAAAATAAAAATAATATTATATTTCTAATATATTTTTATATTTTCTTTATATTATCTATCATTTCTACTATATTTACCAGAATCTGGGTTGCTATCTTTTAAAGAAATATTAATAGAATTAAATTAAATTATCTAATCTACTTTAATTAGTTATTTAATTCTTTACTGATATAATACAGCCCCAACCAAAATATCTAAATCCTATCTCTAGTCCACGTCGAGTTACACTGTAACTCTCTTACTCTCTATATAAAAGCATCCTGGCTAGGCTGTCATTTGGTTCGGTTCGGACTGAACCAAAACTGATCTGAAATCTGAATGGTCCAGTTCTGGTTCTATATACAGTGAACCAATATGATTCAATTTATCAAGTCCAGGACTATATAGTTTTTTGGAGTCCATTTAAATCTAGTTTAAGTTGAATTTTTAATTTAGTTTTATCTAAATATCTGAATACTAGTAGATTACTATTAATAATATTAATAATTTAAAATTAATTTTAATTCTTTATAATTTTTAGTAATTAAATAATTATTTTTAAAGTAGCTTTTTGTAAGGGCTAGGGTTGGTAGAGCGTGAATATATTGATTCCTATGTCGAATGAGGCTTCACTAGTATGTGCCCTATGTATAAGTAGCTATTCACTACCCTTTTTTATTATAAGGATTCGGCCTAGTGTTTATAAGCGGTGTCTCTAGACATATAACTCATTAGCGTCCGTGTCATATATATTATATAGAATCAACATTAACTTCTATATATTTAAATAAAGATATTATAGCTATCTTCTCTCTCTAAAGAGTGTAATCTCACATTCTGCTTAATATCATTAAATAGGTCTCTTTAGCTATTATAATCTATATAAATTACAAATGTCAATTCAGCGTAGTGATAAAGATATTTATATATAAAGTAATATATTCTATAATATTGAATTTACTTCTCTTAACAATAAGAGATATAGTTTGACATATTTATACTCTATTAGATAATATATAAATCTTATCTTTCTACTACCTTATAATTTTCTTCTCTCAATATAGCTTTGAATTCTATGTCTTTGCTTCCCGGCCTCTCTAGGATCATTACTATTATTGTAAGTGGATTTTCTTGATTTCTAACCCCTGAGCGGCTATTTATTATATTCCTTATATTTTCAGTGTCATTTTTAGGCGATATTTGGAGATATTAGTGTTTTGAAACGCTTATGGGTGGTTGTTATATATTATTTCATTTCTTTGATCATCCTTTGTACTTCTGCTATGTCTGCTTTACTTATTATCCAGGATATTTGATATATCAATGCTTAGGCTATTATTTCTTACATTTAAATAGATTTGAATAAGCTTTGAAGTGATATTTAGGAATATTTTGATTTTAATATTAGTTTATGATGCTTTAAAAGTTTTTATTTATTTTAATATTAGATTTATTCTCTAAATTCTTCTTCATAATTCAGAATCTTTCTTTCATATCTTCATTCTTCTCTGAAAGAGATATTTAACCTTAAATATTGGAATTAGCTGATAATTCATAGACTGCCATTCTTAGGTCTAAATTAATATCATATATTAATCTAGAATATATTATATATATCATTAAGCAAGCTCTTACAATTACTAATTATTAGCTTCATCTTTCTAATCATCCTAATATATTAGTGAATTCCAAGATTCTAATTTATATATTTACTTCTATTAATATACTAACTACTTCCATTCTTATAGATAAATCTTCAAAAGATATAAAGTTTTTATCAAAAAATAAAGAAAAAGAACACATCAATCAGATTTATTAAAATATATTTAATCTTTAAAAGTCTAATAAATGTTTTTTAAAGCTTAAAGATCTTTTAGATTCAAATGTACCACCTTCTTACATTATTCTCTACATTTTTTCACTTACTAAAGTTATTTATACAAAATGTATCCTGACTAGTAGCTATAGAGATTCATTCTTTTATAATTAATATTCCTATGATATATTTAATAGTACCAAGTTCTTTTCTATTTATATCCAATCTCTCTATAAATATAATAAGATATTTAAATATTTTATCTAGTGCTAGATCTATATTTAAAGCTTAACAACTAAAGCTTCTAAATTTTATATTAATAATCTCCACTCTAATAATATAGTATAGAAGATATATATCTTATATAAATAAAAGTATTACTAATATCTAAAAATAGATTCTTATATTTATATAATATTTCATATTAATATATTGAAAATTTCTTTTTAGTTCATAGTCTACATTTAAAAGACTATTCAGCTATATTTTCTTAATAATATAACTACTAGCCTTTAGATAATTAAAAGACTTGATCTAAAGATATAAAATATAAAAACTGATAATACTCTTAAGAATAATTCCTTCAAGTTAGAAACTATAAAGACTAATAAATTAAAGATTAAGAAAAGTAAATACTATATATACTATCACTTTTATTCCTCTAATAGTAATACTACTTCTTTAAAAAAATAAAAAAAAGCTTATCATAATATAAATTCATTAAAATCAGATAATAATAATAATTCTTATAAAGCTTTCTATTTATTCTATTTAATAATAGTAATTACTATCTTCTTAAAATTTCTTTTAGATTCTGTTCCTTCTATATCTTTAACCCTAATAAATCCAGCTCTTAATCTTATTATAAATCTTATTTCCAAGTTTACTCTTTTGAACCCTATAATTATAAATCAGATTTATATAACAATAAGCTAGATTCTTTTTAATAATTCTATTATAAAGACTAATTAATCTATCGAATCTCTTTTCTTCTAAATATAAAAGTAGCTTCAGCCCTTATTTATCTCAGTTCATTAATATAAATAGATATATTAAACCCCATATTAAGATAAATTCAGATAGAAATAAAAAATAATTATTTTCTTATCCACTTCTAAGATCCTTTTATAGATTTTTATAAATATCACTCAAAAATAATAGTATCTTATATACCATCAAATAATTCTTAAATATAATTCTCTTTAGAATAATCAATCTACTTAATATAATATTTCTTTCTATTTAAAGGCCCTCTCTTCTATCAAATCTTCTCTACTTCATACTCTTCCTCATCATCTATAAAGACCACATTTAGAGGCATAGCATTTCTAGCTATATTCTAATATAATTTGAATAGAGAGATATAAAAAATAAGATATAACTTCCAAAATTATAAAGATAGATATAATTTATACATATTTATATCCTAGATTATAATAATCTAAAAAGAGTCAATCTACTTATTATCCAGCTTTCATTTTTCTTAAACAGATTACAGATTCTTAGTACAAAGCATGACTTAATTCCCAATTCTAAAGATTACATTAATTCGCGTCTTATTAAACTGATCCATTTAAGCCTTAAAGACCTTCTTTAATATATCCTAAAGGAATTTATATTTATTTATTATCTTCAAAACACATTCTTTAATTATAGCTACTTTCTTTAGATTTTTTAAAGCCTCACTCTCTATAAGATTCAAATAATTATCTATATTGATCCAAATATTCCCTTAAAATCTCATAAGAGCTTTATTTAGAGTGACACCCATCACACTATATATACTATTATTATAAATATATTATACTATAGAAAGCTATCTTGCCCAATCATCCTAATCAAAATTAATATAAGTACAAAGATAACATTCTAAGGTCTGATTTTGTTATTCAGTCTATCTATTTATTTAAGGATAATAGGCCATTAAAAGTCTTCTTTAGATCCCTAGATACTGACAAAGTGTTTTCCAGAATTGAGAAATAAAAATAGTGCCCTGGTCAGTTATTATATATTTTGATATAATGAAGTAATGAATTAAATTATTATATAGTAAGATTATTAAATCCTTTATTAAAATCTTAATCTTCATAGGTTCATAGATAATATATTTTATTAATAGATTAATCATTACTAGGATAGTATTATATATCTAATCTTTCCATACTAAATTTAATAGACTAGTAATAAAATCTATAATAATAATTTCCTATAGAATCTTGGTCTTTGAGAGGAACACTATGTATCTGAATTCCTAATGTTAGAGGATATATACATACTGATATACTTCATATATATAAATATAATATTTAACATCAGTATATATTCTATCCATATATATTTACATCATATTACTTTATAGATTTATTTAATCTCAAAATAATCGCCTAGAACGTTATTATAATTTATATATAATATTTTTTACTTTAAAGCATAATTAGAAAAGATATAAATTATACCTCTAAATCTAAAAAGATTATCTCTTTTAATTAACCATTTTAAACAATTAATCTTTGAATTTAGATTAGCTAATTATTTTCTAATAGCTGCTGCTTATACATCTAAAAGTTAATAGCAATAAATAATAGCCATAAGATCTTTACTTATATTTAAATAGATTATCTTAGACTATATAGCTACTATCAATACAGTCTATAATATTAAGAGTTCTTAATCTCTTATATTACTAGTAATTTATTCATTCTTTAAAATAGTATTTCAAACACTCTAAATCTCTTTTTTATCAACATAAAAAGCTTCTATTTACTTTTTTAGATATA